AAGGGATGAAAAAAACTTGTGTGAAGTGGGCACTAACAAACCAACTAAATTAAGTAACTTAAAATGACCCAAAAACAAAAATGTCACAAAGAATCCAATTCTGCTTATAAAGATCACCCATGATCACAACTAAGGAGGTGAATCACTCACTCCTTAAACTCAACAGTCTAACAATGTAACTTGACACTGCTCACAGCCTTCCTCCCACTCTTTCTCCATCCTTCACTGCCCCATCATTCCATGCCTCCTCTTCTCTTTTCTCTCTCTGTCCCACATTGACCCTTTTCACTGGCTAAGTGGTGGCTACTGTAAACTGACCAGTCTTTCTTCTGCCCCCACATCTCTCTGTCATTCTGTGGAAATGGATGACTGATGGAGAGGAAGAGCAAAAGATAACATCACCTAATTGCTTTTTGAAAAGCCACCCTTCTTTCATGCTTCTTCACTCTGAAGCTGTAATATGGTTATGTTATAGACTAATAAAGGCCTATAATAGGACTATGATTGGACTTTCAACTTGTTCTAATCAACTGGATCAGGAGATTTTGACTATGACAAAGGCAGTGCATATAGTCGTAACTCCTCCAATCTCCACATAATCTGTCATTTCTTTTATTGTTAAAACAGTGTTCCGAGCTGAACACAGGACAAGAGGAGGTCGACTGATGTTTGGTGCTCAAACGCAGTCAAAGTGGATGGACAATGTTTCTTTGTATGGTAAATGGTAAATGGACCTGTACTTGTATAGCACCTTTCTTGTCTTCCGACTCAAAGCGCTTTTACACTACATGGCACATTCGCCCTTTCACACACATTCACTCAGTGATGGTAAAGCCCATCAAACAGAAACTAACTCATTCATACACATTCACACACCAATGCACAGCATCGGGAGCAATCTGGGGTTAAGTATCTTGCTCAAGGATACTTTGACAGGTAGCAACAGGAGCTGGGGATCGAACCAACAACCTTCCGATTAGGGGACGACCCGCTCTGCCTCTGCATCACAGCCGCCCAAATGTATGTGAAGATGAAACCATATTATCATAACTATCTGCTGCTATTTACATTCTCCTGTAAAATGATTTCCTGGCTGTTTAGGTGTATATGCATATGAAAAACTGTATATATTGTTTTATTTTTATCTGTTATATATATTATTCCTTTAATAAAAACCTTTCTTACATTTATTCCTTGTGTTTTACTCCCCACCCCAATTGACTTATCTAGTAAAATAAAGGTAAAAATAAAATTAAATAAATAGCTAAACAACAAAATAGCTTGATTGCCAGTGTTTGACTCATCAGTCCACCTACAATTCACCAAATTTTTCTGGAATTTGACATTTGAATATATTTGTCAAAATCAGTTTTTGTAGCTCAGTTCAAAGTGTTTAACACATAAAACTATGGGTACAATGCATGCTTTTGCACTCTCTTAGAACCAGGCCAAAATATAATAATAAAATAATTACATATTATACATATCATGCTAACATTTTGCATGTTATAATGCAAAGTTAGCAAGCTACTGTTAGCATCTAGAGCCACAAATAATCCCAGTTTGTTAAATATAATGGACAAAGAAAGGAGTGAACACCCCAGGGCAAAATACAATTTGGAAAATGTTCACCTTTGGAAACACAGTAAATGTTGAAATTATGGTGGTCCTACATCAGTTAGGCATATCTTAATTTGTTTTTAAATAATATTTAATATAATTGTGCACTACATAATAAGAAATATAAAATGCTTTTTTGTACATTCAACGACTTTAATAAAAGAACTTCAGAAATGGTTCACTCTGCCCCCAAATCAGGAAGTACAAAAAACAAAAAAACAAAACAGCGACAGCAGCAAACATTACTGTCTACTCCTGAGATTGCCTGCTACTCATAGTAAGTATTTATTGAGATTTACTGCCTTTTTGCTTTTATTCTTGTTTGCAAACTGAGTAAAGTTAGAAAGGACTTGCTAGCTCTTTAGCAAGAATTTCCTGCTCCAAGGACAGGTAACTTGCTAAAGATCATGAATTTATCAACAGTCATTATTTAAATGTACTTATAATAATAATAATGTAATTTAAATACTAACATTATCAGTATCCAGAACATTGAACTTTTATTGATGTTAAATAAAAAATAGTAAATTAATAGTAGCATTATCTGGTTCCAAGCTTGCAGCGCTGAGAAGGAAAGCTAAATTCAAAGTTTCACTGAAAATGTTTAAATATATTTTAATGGCATTTACGCTTACAAAAGAAGTGCTTCCTTGAGTTTTGCAACCGACATAAATATTTAAATGCATGTAATTTCTGTACTTTTTCATTTGACGCTGCAATATTAGGAGCTGACTGTTAGCTTGTTCCCATTTGTTTAGCTAACAGCTAGTTACATTCAAATTCAATTCAATTCAATTCAATTTGTATAGCACCAATTCATAACAGAAGTTATCTCAGGACACTTTCCAAATAGAGCAGGTGTAGACCGAACTCCTTATAACATTATTTACAGAGACCCAACAGTACCACCATGAGCAAGCACTTGGCGACAGCAGCAAGTAAAAACTTCCTTTTAAGAGGTAGAAACTTCGGACAGAGGCCGGCTCTATGTGGGTGGCCGTCTGCCTTGACCAGTTGGGGTGAGAGAGAGAGAGAGAGAGTAAAAGCCAAAGTAGATTGGAATGTTATCTTGCCCTTAAAAGAGATTATGAATTAGCAGAATATCTCTCTACTGTCAGAGATAGAAAGCAGAGACAGATCCTAACCAAGTACAGGCTCAGTGACCACAAACTGGCAATCTAAACAGGAAGACACAAAAAATCATGGCAACCAAAAGAAAACAGAAAATGTGGTCACTGTTTGACAGGTGAGGTTGAGACAGAGATGAACTTTCTCTTACAATGTACAAAATTAAGTGATATGAGAACAATTTATTTTAACAAGTTCAGTGATCGAGGCAGACGCACGCACACACACACACACACACACACACACACACACACACACACACACAGAGTATATAACTAATATAATGTTCATAATGTATATATCTTTCATATTGTGTATTGTCTGAATATTTCTACTTATTGTATTGTATTTTGATGCTTTGCTTTGGCAATATTGTTTTTTTTTTTAAACTTTCATGCCAATAAAGCCCATTTTGAATTTGAATTTGAATTTGAGAAAGAGAGAGAGAGAGAGAGAGAGAGAGAGAGAGAGAGAGACAGAAGGACAGAGAAAGAGATAAATGGACTGTATTTACATCATACACTGATGGCACTGGCTGCCATGCAAGGTGCCAACTGCTCACCAGAATGGAAACTAATCATTCATACACACTCATACACCGATGCACTTCATCAGGAGCAATTTGGGGTTCAGTGTCTTGCTCAAGGACACTTCAGCATGCAGCGAGAGGAGCCGGGGATTGAAGTGCCAACCTTCCGATTACTGGACCACCCGCTCTACCCCTGCTCTACCTCTAAGCCACAGCCGCCTAATTACCAATTGCCTGTTAAGACATTGTGCAAACTATACTATGGCTTTCAGAGGAGCTCACTTTTTTTTTGTCATTGGGGGTATATTTTCTGATATGTTCTGATCTGAAGTGAATAATATCACACTTCAGTGGTGATTGCAAGAATATAAGTATCCTTTTTAAAGTGAATTAGTGATGAGTCCCCCCTAATGCACAAATCATACATCAATAGTAAGTTTACACATTATCCAAAAATAGAAATACATGGCAAAAATAGCATATTGCAGTCCCTCCAGGAAGTTGCAATCACAACAATTACAATGCAGTTTCTACCAATGCCTGTTAAGTTGCCTTAAATGTTTAATGAATTATAAAAAAATGTCCTGCAATTTCATTGCAAAAATTTCCTAAAAACAACCTACAAAGAAAACTAGGTTGGGATTTTGGGATTGTTGGCTTCCCTGTAGTTTGCACCCTGTGAGAAGATAGCCACAAACTTTGTTAAGAATTTCTTATTACATTCATTCTATAAAAACATAAGGCACATAACCCACTGGTTGTTCTTGTTAGCAGCCTAGATATGTTGTCTGCGTGCAATTTAAGGGGGGAAAGACCAGTCAGTTGTCATCATGTGTTTGAGGGGAACATGACAACTCAAACTATAAAGTTCCAGTTGATGAAGACCACCTGAATACACAATCATTTTGATTCTGTGAGGCTGCCTCATTTATGGAGGAATAGCAAGTTTAGCATGGCTTTCAGGTCCTTTGAAGGAATCATCTTTGTGGGCTAAATGAGTGGGGGCATAAAATTTGCTGTGCAGTCTGTAGTCCTTTGACACTCTCAGACAAATCAGGTTACAGTGCAGGCTATTAACCTACTAGTCTTTCAGTCAGCTGATGTCCAGACAGTCAGGAGCAGAAAAGGATGAATGGATGAAGGAAGTGCTCTTTTCTTGGGGATCTGGTGTTCTATCTAACAGTGGGTCCAAAGTGTGTATTGTGTAAATACAGCACCAAATACATCAAATCTCACATAAAATCTTTGTTGCATGACATTCTAAAACCTGTACTGTCACGCCATTTTGATTAGGAAGGATCTCATTTAGTTATGAAAATGGGGAATTGAAACTATCACTGTTTTTTAGAGCCGTTGGGTGGTTTTCAGGCTGGTTTCTCACAACTTGAACGCTCTCAGGTTGGTTTCACACTAATGACTTCACAAATGAAAAATTGTTTCTTTCAGCAGTCCTCAACATGATACATATTTCAGGTACGTCAACATGTCATTTTTGACAAAGAACCATGGTTGGAATTCTTACACAGGGTTTAAATTCTTACCTCACCAAATATGCAAAAGGGTGTTGTCGATATTACAATACTGTAAAGTGTCTTACAGTTCCAGGGTGTGTGTGTGTGTGTGTGTGTGTGGGAGAGAGAGAGGGAAGGGGGGGGTAGCTATTGTCAGTAGAGGAAACGAGCTCTGAGTTCTCTCTTAGCTCAGATGCAGCATATTGCTTGAACACTGTCATTAGTGACTATTATCTGCTGAATATCTGCTGGTGTGAATGAATGGGAAGTAACAGAAACTACTAGTATCAGTCTCTTCAGGTGTGTTCAGTCTGTATGACCATATCAGGAACACGGAAACCGCACACCTGTGAGCTGACGTCATACGTTGAAAGTACCTGCAGTAACTCGTCCGACAGAACTCGACTCACTCAGTGACTGAAACTACATTCAGGCGAAAAGACAAAGAAGCCACGTCGATAATTCACGAAGGATTATATTTCATATTTCATAGTTTTTTTTACTTTCATTCCGAAGAATACTGAAAGAAGATTTACATACAGATGGGGACCGTTTGGTTCGCGGGTTTGGCCATTTTAATCGTCGTTTTTCAGGTGAGTTTCCCCTTCTGTCGTTAATTCTACAAACCGGCTTCCGGCCATACCTGTCCTTCTTGCAAAAACATACCTAAAGGAAACATACCTCGACGGGGAACATACTGAGACACCGCCGGCTTCCAGCCATGTCTGTCGTTCTTTAGTGTGTAACTTCAAAAACTGGTAGTTATTGTTGTTACCTTACTTATTACATCTGAAAGAAAACTTGTTGGGCGTTTTCAGAAACCTTCCTTACAATTTCTAAAGATAATTTCGGCATCTGTCGGTATGTTGCAGGTTTATTTCAGCAAAATCTCTACTTTTCTCAGCCACTTGCCGCTGCCTGCATTCAACTGAACGGAGATCTGTGTCTGTGTGTGTGTGTGTGTGGGGGGGGGGTTAATAGCGAAATACTACGCGCACATAACCAAGCTGAATTAAACATAACGCATTCAGTCACAAGTAGGCCTAATTCAAAAGGAAGATACCATATACATAAATGTCAACCAACTGACACACGACAAAGCTTTAAATCGCCATTTTTCTTTTAGAGTTCCTCCCCCCAGAGTCAGTGAGTCCGCACGGGCCTCGCCCTTATTCCGTTGGTGACGTCGGCAGGTTAAATTCCAATCCAACATGTTTAATACACATTCTTTCATTACAATCAAACACCAATGGATTGTACCCATATCTTATACTTTCTTAAATTATGCGAATTGGACTTTTTAATACAGAATCAGTTTTTAAATGATAACCAATAATTACCTTATTCTCATGGCACATACCAAGAAGACAATAAGTTCATAACCTGCAGTTTATGCACACCTGATGGTAAGAAAGACTAAGGTGTAGTGAGCAAAGATGCGTGATTTTATATTCCATAGCTCTGACCTAACCAAATCTAACTGACATCATTATTGTTAACACAACAACAAACAAAATGTATCCTTTCTGGTGTTCATCAAAAAAACTAAGGCTTTATGTTCTATAAAAGCCAATCAATTATTTTTCATAAAAATGCCAAATGAAATATTATTATTATTATTATTATTATTATTATTATTATGGACAATAATTTGTTGGCTTTAATTTCATTGTCAGAATAATGCACAATATTAATTTCTCATTATCAACTGATAATTAATTGGCCCAGATAATTATCGCACATCCCTAGTCTAAAGATGTTGACAGCTTAAGACACAACAATTATTATTTTTAGGTGATTATACATTATATAAGAAAACATACCTGTGAATATTGTATTCCATTTCTGCCAATAGACCCTCCTAAATGTTACTCAATTGGCCTTTTAACTGTTGCTTAATTATACAAAAATGGCAAGTGTGCTTGTTCAGCTTTTCAAATGGGAATTTTTCTTTTTTTCGCTGTTGTTAAATACTGTATTTTAATCACACAAACTGAATGCCATTTTAAGTTTTCTCAACAAAATCTGACTAAATGGTTTTTTTGTAGCTTCTGATTGTACATTTTCCATATATCTGGATTAGTGGTTCATTAAAATGTGTTTTTCCTCTTATAGGCCTCAGTTTTAGTGACTGCTGAGGAGCCAACATGTGTACCAGGATTTCAGTCAGATGTGTTGATTTTCAAAGTGGCCCGAAAGCACCTGAGACCGCCCATGACACTCGGCAAAGGTAAGAGTAATCCAGAAAGTTGTACTATCATTACCTAATGCACATTGATTTACTGTGTGGTGTTCATTTACAACGTTCAGTATCACTATATATGGATTATATTTACATTGTAAAATCTAAAGAACATTTTAGGATCTAAAATCTAAAATTATAGTCATAAATTAAACCTTTTTTTGTAAAATGCTCCTCGGGCTCAGATTGCCTTATACAGATTAGCTGTTCTCGTTGTTCTAAAATGTACCCCAAATAACCTTTGGTCTCAGCTTGCACTTCGTGCAATGCTGCAAAGCAATGTCCTCATGTCTGTTTGGCAGACCTGGCTTCTGAAATGAAAAGTCATGAAACATTTTCAGCTGTCTCAGTTGAAAATTTAACTACCCTATCTGGGTTGTGGTCTAGGTGTTTGTCTGACTGTCACATCTTTGCTAGTCTAGCACATGGTTAAACTGTCATGAGTCAGGCTTCTGGTTTCCTCTGCGCAACTTTAGGCGTACTTGTTCATCAACAGTTGAAGTCTTCATAGTTCTTCCTAATGCCTGCCACCAGGAACCAAGAAAATATTTCTATATTTCCTATATACAAAATGATCCACTTTCACCCGTGAAGTTGTTTTTGTGCAGTAATCAGTGAGGCCCCAGACACACACTGTTCTTAAGGGTTAAGGGTGAATCTTAGCTCTGTGTCACTTAAAAGAGCAGCAAGAAACTTTCATTTATTTGTTGATTCTGGTGGCTCACATCGACAAAAGCAGTAGTGATTCCACCTCTTTTCATTGATTTCAAGGGAAATCTAATTCATCCTGGTGAAAATCTGAATAACTGTGTAGAAATGGCCAATCTTCTTTCTTAGGGGATTTTAACTTGTTATGAAACAGTCTCAATTTAATAAAAATGCCTCTATAGGATCTACATTAACAAAAGAAAAAAATATTACGATTTATTTTAAATTTTTAGGGATGTGATCTAAAAGGGTTAAAAAGGTTTTCATTTAATCTCGCCTTTTGTATGGCTATAACGAATAGTTTGTAGAATTAGAATTCAATGACATCCTTATTAATGAAGCTTCATTCAAATGATGCTCTATACTTTCTATAAAAACGTAGTGGATATTGCTTCACTGTCTTCATCTCTCTCTTCTGCGCTCTGTCTGTGCCCTGGATGTATAAAGTGCTGTGTGTCTGTTTGACCAAGGGCGGGGCTGAATTACACACACACACACACACACACACACACACACACGCCCAGGATTCCCATTACCTTAACTTAACAATAGTAACTCTATTTCATTCTATTTCTTTTCAACCTTTTCGTGTTCCTTCTTTCTGATGTTGGTGTCTGCTGGTATGGCCACATCTATCACCACCGCCTTCTTCTGCTCTTTGTCTACCACCACTATATCCGGTTGGTTGGCCAGGACCTGTTTGTCAGTCTGGAATCTGAAGTCGCATAGCACCTTGGCCCTGTTGTTCTCAGCCACCTTCTGTGGTGCGGCCCATTGGGATTTGGGTACTCCTATTCCATACTGGGTACAGATGTTCCTGTACACTATTCCAGCCACTTGGTTGTGTCTCTCCATGTACGCTGAACCGGCTAGCTTCTTACACCCTGCTATTATGTGCTGGACTGTCTCAGGGGCATCTTTGCATAGTCTGCACCTTGGGTCAGATCTATTCTTGTAGATCTTGGCCTCTATGGCTCTTGTACCTAGGGCCTGTTCTTGTGCTGCCATGATCAGTGCCTCTGTGCTGTCTCTGAGTCCAGCCTTTTTCCAGCCATTGGTAGGTCTTCTCGATATCAGCCACTTCTTCAATTTGGCGGTGGTACATGCCATGTAGGGGCTTGTCCCTCCAGGTTGTCTGCTCCTCTTCCTCTGCACTCTTATCAGGTTTTTGTTGCCTGAGACATTCACTTAGCAGTTCATCCTTTGTGGCCATTTTTCTGATGTACTATACATGATGTACTGTATTTTTGATGTTTCATCCTGGATAGTGGCCTTGATGCTCACTAGTCCTCGGCCTCCCTCTTTCCGCTTAGCGTACAGTCTCAGGGTGCTGGATTTGGGGTGAAACCCTCCGTGCATGGTGAGGAGCTTTCTTGTCTTGATATTTGTGGCTTCTATCTCCTCCTTTGGCCAGCTTATGATCCCAGCAGGGTATCTGATGACTGGTAGTGCGTACCTGTTGATGGCTTGGATCTTGTTCCTGCCATTCAGCTGACTTTTCAGGGCCTGCCTTACTCTCTGGAGGTATTTGGTTGTGGTTGACTTCCTTGCGTCTTCCTCATGGTTTCCATTAGCCTGTGGGATACCAAGGTACTTGTAGCTGTCTTGGATATAACCTATGTTGCCCTCTGGTAGGTCAGCCCCTTCAGTTCTGATCATCTTGCCTCTCTTTGAGATCATCCGGCCGCACTTGTCCAATCCGAATGGTGTGTGTGTGTGTGCGTGTGTGTGTGTGTGTGTGTGTGTATATGTGTGTATATATTTGTATATATATGTGTATATGTAGATAAAAATTGCTGAGATGAGCAATAAATTGGGACAAAAAGGTCACATAGAGCAGAGGGTTTGGCCGCAGTAAAAAAAAATGCGCAAGTGTAAAATGTAGCAGCTTTGACTTCCAGTAGTCAACTCCCTTCTCATCCAGAGACGTCACATTTAGACTAAAATACTTTTTTTTATATAATTTTCCTTTGCCGCTGGCTAACACCTGTGTGGGGGTCTATGCAGGAAAAACCCTGTTCCGTGAGTGGAAATTAAATGCACCGTTTTTAGTTTGGAACATGCCACTTTACTTTTCAGCTGGAGCTCCTACATTTCATCTGACAATAATCTTGTACAGCAACTAGAGGGTGGCTGAATGAGGAAATGGGACTTGACCAAAGCCAATTAGCAGTGTTTTGTTGTTCCTTGTCTGCATTAATTTGTTTGCCTGACAGGAGCTATAATGACACTTTTGCAAAAATTGTCAATTATTTTGTTATGTACTGACGACTTAACAGTTACGTCTTTATTTTGTCTGTATAGTATGGACTGCATATGTAATGGATAATTATTTCTTCTGTCCAATCCCAGTGGGCTTCACGGACTGCACAGGCCGCACAGAATTTTCTTTCAGCAGTGATGACCACCGGTTCACAGTACAGACAGATGGCACATTGATGGTAAGTATTAACTCTTGATTGAAAAACTAATGCTTACCTCTCCAAAATTCTCACACATCCTTTTAAACATGAGTTAAAATGATTAGGGGATTTGAGTAAGTTTGCTTGGGTAATACAGAGTAATTGGAATGGGGAATTGTTTTTAGTCTTATAAAGGATATATTATAAAGGACTGAAATATAAATTCTCAGCAACAGTTCACGTGTTTTCTGGTAGCGGTGCAGTAACTAAACAAATCTTACACTCAGCTTAGATGAATGTGGGTGTGATATCCATTATAAAGAATAGAACCCATGTGAATTCCAAAATGTGGCAGAAGTAGCTCTGTGGAGAGAGGGCCCCTACATTTTTTTGACCTGAAATCACCTGACAGACCGAAGTGATTTAAACAGCAATAATACTGTTCAGTTTGCCCTAGCTTGATATAGTCACATGGAAAGCTTTCTAAAAACCAAAATCAGCATGTTGGCCTTTCCTGATTAGTCTTTCTCCCCCCCCCAGGTAAAGAGATCTGTTTTTCTTCATGAAGGACACCAGGACTTCTTCATCAACTCCTGGGATTCACAAGGTCGCAAAATGACTCTTCCTGTCAGGGTACTGCACCACGGGCATAACCATGAGAACAACCAAAATGTTAAGCATCACCATGGAGACCACAAACACCATAACCATCAGCACCACTTTACTGAAGTAGACTCAGAGGTAAGATTAGAGACATTATTAACACATAGTCACCAGGATCACTTTCAATCATAATGGTCTTTTGATTGCACTGACCAGATCTGAAATCGACCCAATAAATTCCCTAGGAGCAGTTCGTTAAGATACGCTTACAAATCGCCCAAAAAGAATTCAAAATTAGACTTTGTTCAACGAAAAAGATTCATAACACATCATCAACTACTTTAGGGTCTTCTGACCAAATTACTGCAAGATCTGGTAAATCTGCCAGGAATAGTACGTAAAAGTATAAAACATGACTTTTTGCCAGTAGGGGGCACTATGCTATTAGTATGGAAGAATATTGGCATGTTGATTTGTTCAGGGCAGGAATCTTATCAGACCTGTGAGGTTTGTTTCAGATTGGACAAAGTACACCGAAGTTATGACAACTTCCTCTTCCATGGCCAAACATTGTAATTTGGTACTGCGCTACAAACACGCCCTCTGACAAACTCTCAAATGGAACAACTTTTAATAGTGCTTATGTTCATACTGGTTTAAAAATGGCCGACTTCCTGTTGAGTTTGCATTATGCGTGCAGTATGCCTTTTTTGTACGTCTGGACATGATACATGTATACCAATTTTCATGCATATCTGTGAAACGTGCCCCGGGGCTGCTGTTTAGGGGCAATGTTGAGCCATTTTGCCATGCCTATGTGTGGGACCCATATCATAATTACATTTCTCATACTGTTGATTTTGTGCTGCACTTCATGAGATATGGAGCATGTTGTGGCCCCAAAAGTGCAATTCATTGTGTGAAATAATAATTCCTTCAGTGATTGCTGCTCGGGCTCTAATTTTAAGCAAGCAAAATGTCTGGATGACAAAGTAAGCTATGCAGTAAATTGGGCAATGGTGAAAGTAAGTATATGATACATTACTGTATGACTATACAAAAGAATTCTTAGGATATAGTTCTGAAAAGAATAATTCCTTCATAAAACTCTACAGAACTGTTTCATCTGGAGTTTAACTGCAAAAATCACATGTCTTAAACCATGACCAATTAAAAGATGAAAAGAATGTAGGGAACTTTATTAATAAATAAAAGAAATAGTATAAACTGTTATTATAACAAAAACGTACATGATCACTAGATGGCAATATTGTTGTGAGGATTAAACATAACACTTGCGTAACAACACAAGCTACAGTTTTGGAGATGCTCTGACCCAGTCGCCTAGCCCTAGTCATAGGCTCTCAAATCCTAACAAAATGTTTACTTGCTGCCCAATATATCACACCAACTCATAGGTGCAATGATAACGAGAAAATATGTTATTCATTTTACCTGTAAGTGGTCATAATGTTATGCTTGATCGGTGCACATACCTCTCTGTGCATGACTGTTGCTCGGGTGAGCATGCATAAGCCATGACATTTTAAAAATGTGCACAAAATGTGCACGTGTTGATCAGACAGAGAGGGGAGGATGAGTGGTGATACTTTCTTTTCTTTTGATTTAAGGTCATCAGTCATAGAGCTCTGGGTTTTTTTGCTCTCCTGTAGAATGAAAATTCATATTAATTCTTTGGAGATTGTAATTGTTGTTTCTAACTTTTTTCTTGTGTTCATTTGGAGACCTGATAACTCCACCAGGCCTTGATGATAAATACAAATGGCTAAAAGTTTGGTGTTTCATTGGGTTTAGGACCACAAGTGACATAGGTGTAATATGATTTAATGTTGAAATTATTTCCAAATGCCTGTCATCAGAATCTCCATCCATTATCTATTACTCGGAAGTGGAGCCTATCCCAGCTCACATTGAACAATCGGAATCGTGAAACACACGGTCATAAGCATTTTAAGCTGATGCTGATACTTACTATGAAATTGGTGTGTTTCTTTGCGGTTGTTTTTATTTCTTAGAGTGTTGTATTATTCAGTCCCTCACTTACTAAGTCTGTGTTTTCCCAGTCTGCAGCTGATCCACAGGTGCCCGTTCTGCACTTCCCCAAGCATGGTGACGGGCTAAAAAGGAGAAAGAGAGACTGGGTTATTCCTGACCTCAATGTTCCTGAGAATGACAGAGGACCCTACCCCCTCAGAGTATCTCAGGCAAGAGGAACTAAAACACCTTTTTGATATTGAGTATTTGATACTAAACTGAATTTTGAATATTTGTTTCTCTGTGGTGTTTTCCATTGCATTCATAGGGTTCTGATTTTTATTTATTTTGTATTTATTTATTGGATTTGATTTAAGGAAAAAATATTTTACTCTATGACCAGATAGAGCTGCAGTTGTCTTGCATTTCTCCCCAATCCCCAAGTGTGCTTACAATTATTCTGTAACCCTGTTAACTTTTTTATGGCAATAGTTTAATTATCCTATTGGGAGAAATCAAAAGCATGTTTCCTCACAATAATGAATGTGTGCCATGGCTGATGGGATGATTCAACGCAGTTATCCAGAGATCATAATATGATTAACTTGAGATGTTGGCCAGGATGTAGAATAATGTAAGCAGGCCACTCTCAGTTGAAATTGTTCTACAATATTGTAACTATTTTTGTAGTCTGTGATAGTGGTATAACTCAGTCCTGGTGTGTTTGATCCTTTCCCTATTAGATCCGTTCTAATGAAGATAAAGTAAAGAAGCTCTATTACAGCATCACTGGTCCAGGAGCTGATCAGGATCCCATTGGCCTCTTCACCATGGACAGAGCTTCTGGTACTCTGTATATCACACAACCACTGGACAGAGAAAAACAAGCCAAGTACACAGTAAGAATCCTCTCTGCTGTTAGATTTATACATACACTCTTTGTCTACTTTCCATTTTCATTCAGAATTAAAATTTTATTGACACCATCAGATAGGTGCTGATTTTCCAGTGCTTGCTCATGTTGTGAGTTGTTGGGTCTCTGTAAATAATTTTATAAGGAGTACGGTCTAGACCTGCTCTATATGAAAAGCGTCTTGAGATAGGGCAAGTGTGGCACTTAGTGTAAAAAGCACTTTGAATGGTCGGAAGACTAGAAAGGCGCTAGGTCCATTTACCATATGGAATGAAAGCATCTACATGGATTACTCTTGCGTTTACAGCGTTACATTACAGATGTGTTTTGTTTGTGTACAGTTTCAAGCACATGCTGTGGCAGATGGTTCAGTTGCTGAGGAGCCTATGGATATTACAGTCATTGTAATTGACCAGAACGACAACAAGCCTACTTTTGCCCAGGACACCTTCCTGGGAGAAGTTCCCGAGGCCTCACCAAAAGGTACTGTCAATGGAGATAATTTAAGTATGAAAGAGATGTCTGCTCAAACAATATAGTTGGACAATGATGGCAGTTACAACTACTTTTTTTGTGGTCTTATCACTGTTCTATAGCTGTACAATGGAGCAAAAAAAAACTGCACAAAAGTAAATCACAATAAGCAATTATAATATTTGAAGTGAAGCACACATGCTAAGAGGCTGAACAAAGTTTTCAGATGAAAGTATATGGGTCTAGGTAGTTTGCAAGTCAGAGTCCAGAAGAACAGAGAAGATGACAAATTGGCAGAAGACGTATATTTAAGAACAAGTGTGCGCCAATGAAGTGAGTACTCAAATTAAGCCATGGCCCCCTCACCTTCTTAATTTACATAGAAAACTTCCTTTACACACAATTCCTTAATTAGTGAATAAATTACTATTACCTTCATCTGACAGTCTACCTTTATTGTATCTCTGCGCAATGGATCATAGTAGTTAGTAGCTGGATTGTACACACCTTTTTATCATTTGGGGTAATTTCAGTTCACAAAAAAATGTTTCAATGCTTAGAGACCAGACTACAAAATGATAAAAATACTTAGCTGACTGATACACCTTGTACACTACAAGGTACATTGTTAGGTTGGAAAGAAAACTAGCATAATCTTGGCCCCATATGGCCCAGCTTTATTTTGTAAATCACCTCTTTTAATGAAGTGCTCTGAACACTTTTAGGAGTCTTTGTACTTAATTTCCACTTCTGATGTCCCTTTCTCCAGATTTTGAGGTGATTAAAGTTGTGGCCACAGATCGGGATGAGCCAAATAATGCCAACTCTGATATTCGCTACCGCATTATGAGGCAGGAGCCAGAGTTGCCCACTGACTCCCTGTTTGTCATCAACCCAGTCAGTGGAGCCATCAGAGTCAATGCCGGTGGGCTCGACAGAGAGGTGAGGCTTTTAGAACATCTTTTATCTGTCTTTGCATGCTTTCACACCTAAATGTTGAAATGATCTCTGTTTCAAAGAAACAGTTTTCCCGTTTGATTTGGTTCAATTAGGATGGTATAAATACTTCTATGCAAGCTCAGGTGCAGACCAAACAGCTGCACCGAGTCTGACTGAAAGGTGTTTTTTGTTCTGCTTTGTACATGAAACTACACATTGATCTACCAATCATGGATGGATGGATAGATGGATAGATGGATGGATAGATACTTTATTTATCCTCAGGGAAATTGAAGCATCCAGTAGCATACAAGACATACATTAAACATACATTAGAGTAAAATTAGAGTTAACAAAATAAGGGCGCCTGGTTAGCTCAGTTGGTAGAGCCCCTCTCTCTGCCCCTCCTGTCTATCTTTGGCTGACACTATCGAATAAAGGCAATAAAAGGCAAAAAAAATAACTATTTTTAGTTTTTTAACTAAATAAAATTAAAGTTAACTAAAATAGCATTAAAGTTAACTTAACACAGTAGCCACAGTACACGGTGCAAACGGAGTGCAAATGAAGTTGAGATTGTCCATTGTCTATTATCTATTGTCCTCCATGCCTTGACTAAGGGTTGTTGTAAAGTCTTATGGCCAGGGGGACGAAAGAGTTTTTCAGTCTGTTGGTGGAGCTCGATTGGGACAGCAGTCGGCCACTGAACACACTCCTCTGACTAATGAAGGTGTTGTGCAGAGCGTGGTGGTGTGCAATCCAAATTTCTTCCTCAGATTATTTCACACATTGTTCGGTGTTTATGATTATCTGTTCAGCACAGCTCGCTAAGTTTCCTTTTTTTTTGCATTAACCGAGAACATTACTGTAATTTCGTTAGAGCAACAGTACATGCAGTGGATCTGAGTTACAGTACAACTTATAAATTCCTCCCAATGGAGTTCAAGGCAGGGTCTGTTACTTTGACACACGGTACATTTTGAAATTGGACTGCTCAGTACAAATTAGATATTGCTAGTGCAACCAGCTCTATAGCACACTTGCTGTTAACTGCTCTTAATTGAAGACAATATCTAAAGCAACAGGACATGAGAAGGTGTCATCATGTAACATCACACCAGCTGAATGTCAACAGTTTGAAAGTATTTGATTTGAAAGGGAGTTTGCGAAATGTTAAAAAAATAATAATAAAGCGTTCCAGTTGATGTGTTGATCTCATTGTCTGTCTCTTCAAACAGAAATACCCGAAGTACACTCTGGTGGTGCAAGCAGCAGATATGGTGGGAGAAGGGTTGAGTGGAGAAGCAAAAGTAATCCTTACAGTCACAGATAGCAACGACAATGCTCCGGCCTTCACTCAGTCCTCTGTAAGTACAACATACTGTTTGCCAAACCCCTCCTCTGAAGTGCAATTGTCCAGTCATAGCAAATCCAACTGTAAGGAGGCACAGAAGATATGTTGAGCTCTGGTCGTCTGACCAAGCTGAAGCACTGTCCATGGGACTGTGGTTAGCATTGGAGTGTTCCAAAGATTCAAGAGGTGTATTGTCATAGTACAGTAAGAAACACAGTGGTTTATATGTACAATGAAAAACTTACTTTGCCCGACTCCCTTTGGCAACACAAATAGAAGAATAGAATAAAGTTAAAAATTTTATACATTAGAAAAAGCCTCATTAACATTTCCCATGTTGACCTGCTAAAAACGACTTGGGGAGGCCTGGCTTAGCGAATAGTCAGTTCATACATGGCCAACTTTAAGGCAACAACAGGTTTGCTGAAGAAAGTAGCTCACCATCATTTTTGGAAATGTAATGGGTTGTCATTTTACATGGTACTTGAAATAGGATTTATCCTGGAAGTTAATGACATGACTGAAGCACTCTTTAACAATCTCAGTCTCAAAGATCGCCGTCTGGGCCGATCAAGATTTACTTTTAAGCATTTATTTAAGCATTTATTTATTTAAGCATATCCATTGGATTGATTTGAATCACTTTAATCTACATCAGCCAGTGGTTCTCAACCTTTGGGTAATATTTTAATTTCACTATTTCATTGGCTAAAAGTTAACCCAAGGAGAGAATTTATGACTGTTCTGTTCATAGATTTCAGACTCTTCACTGTTAATGTGCCAATCTACAGTATAGACAGTTATGGAAGAACTAAATCTCATCAGACGTACACTACCAGTCAAAAGTTTGGACACACCTTCTCATTTAATGGTTTTTCTTTATATTCATGACTATTGACATTGTTGATTCTCACTGAAGGCATCAAAACTATGAATGAACACATATGGAATTATGTAGTAAACAAAAAAGTGTGAAATAACTCAAAACATGTTTTATATTTTGGATTCTTCAAAATAGCCACCCTTTGCTTTGATAACTGCTTTGCACACTCTTGGCATTCTCTCCATGAGCTTCATGAGTTAGTCACCTAAAATGGTTTTCCAACAGTCTTGAAAGAGTTCCAAATTTCTTCTGCTTGTTGCTTTTCCTTAGTAGTGGTTTTTTTAACAGCTATTTGACCATAAAGGCCTGATTCGCGCAGTATCCTCTGAACAGTTGATGTAGAGATGTGTCTGCTACTAGAACTCTGTGTGGCATTCATCCGGGCTCTAATCTGAGGTGCTGTGAACTTGCAATTTCTGAGGCTGGTGACTCGGATGAACTTATCCTCAGCAGCAGAGGTGACTCTTGGTCTTCCTTTCCTGGGGTGGTCCTCATGTGAGCCAGTTTTGTCGTAGCGCTGGATGGTTTTTGCAACTGCACCTGGGGACACATTCAAAGTTTTTGCAATTCTCCGGACTGACTGACCTTCAGTTCTTAAAGTAATGATGGACTGTTGTTTCTCTTTACTTAGCTGATTGGTTCTTGCCATAATATGAATTCTAACAGTTGTCAAATAGGGCTGTCACCTGTGTACCAACCTGACTTCTGCACAACACAACTGATGGTCCCAACCCCATTAAGAAGGCAAGAAATTCCACAAATGAACCCTGACAAGGCACACCTGTGAAGTGAAAACCATTTGAGGTGGTTACATCATGAAGCTCATTGAGAGAAGGCCAAGGGTTTGCAGCGCTGTCAACAAAGCAAAGGGTGGCTACTTTGAGGAATCTAAAATATGAACCATAATTTCACATGTGTTCATTCATAGTTTTGATGTCTTCAGTGAGAATCTACAATGTAAATAGTCATGAAAATAAAGAAAAACCATTAAATAAAGGTGTGTCCAAACTTTTGACCGGTAGTGTATCTTCACATCAAATACAGGCCCGATGTATTTGGGGGTCCATGACAACAAAAAGGTTGAGAACCATTGAAATTTGTACTGTGCAACTGTATCTAGGGAAATGGACATATCGCATCGGGATTCTGTATTGGCAGATTCTCACTATTTAATAACTGGGATTGGGTACAGAAAAACTAGATTGGACATCCCTAGTCTACTTGATGTATAATATTAAACTTAATTAACTAAATTGCATACAGACAATAAAATTCAAGGCTAAGGTTAAAAATAGTTATTCCTGTTAAATAGCAAGGAACGACATCCTTTTTCCCTCCTTGTTTTTCCTGTTTTTTTCACTCCCACACTTTCAACACGTCCCGTGTATTCTCCCAGTATGAAGCAGAAGTTACAGAAAACGCAGTGGATGTTCAAGTCATTAAGATGTCAGTAACGGATCATGACGAACCACATTCTCCAGCCTGGAATGCCAAGTTTAACATTGTTGGTGGTGATCCTGGAGGACTCTTCACAGTGAAAACAGGAAGTAACAAACATGAAGGAATAATTTCTACGGTCAAGGTAGGAAATAAACCAGAATTCTCAAATTAGCCACAATGTTCAAGGGGTGAGATTTGTCAATAAATATTATTTTTATTTTATAGATTACTCTTCTGTCACCTTTTGCAGTTTATTAGACAGTTTAAAATGAATTTGGGTTTTTGTGGTAAAGTAGAATGTTTAAGAAATATGTTTGAGACATTTTGCTGCTATGCTTTTCCTTCCATCCAACCAGGGTCTTGACTTTGAGAAGAGCAGCAAGCACACTCTGTTGGTTACAGTGGAGAATGAGGTCCCTTTTGCTGTTAAGCTGCCCACTGCCACTGCCACCGTGGTGGTGAATGTGCTGGATGTCAATGAAGCTCCAATTTTTGATCCAATAGAAAAGCTTGTGTCAAAACAGGAGGACCTTATCATTGACAGTGATGTAGTGCAGTACACCGCTTCAGACCCAGACACTGCACGCAAACAGAAAGTCATGTAAGATCATGTTTTTTTACTTTGAACATGTGTTCAGTGTGTATAGGTATAAGGGTTTATGTCGACTAGTTTGACGACAGGGGAACGTGATTCACATAAGCTCAAACCAAGACTCTAACTCCAGGGGAAGATAAGGACACAGCAGGGATAGGAGAGGCAAGAAGTGGTAGAGGAGGAGTAGTCGCCAGGCATCAGAGAGGCAGTAACATCGCGTAGAGCCAGAATTTATTTTTTACATCTAATTCTGTTAGATGGTTAGACACTAGAGTTGGTGATTGTTGGAACAGTAGTAAGACTAATAAAGGTGATTTGGTGAGTTTTGTTTCTGTTTGAATGAAATCGGTTTTAAGGTCTTTGTTCAGTATAAGAGAGAAACCTAAATTTAAAAGGTGTATGGTTGTATTTTTCTGTTTAATTAGGGAAATGGATGTTTTTCTTTGTCTTTCTTTTCATGTGGTGTGTATTCTTTTGTTAAAGTGATGAGAGCTCAACAAAGACAAATCACTCGCATGTCATGTTCCCCTCTCAGTCCTTTTCAGCATTAGAAAACATTTAGATTTATGTCAAGCAGGTCCTACACATAGTTTCTGTTAAGACTTTTCCAATCAGTAGCTGTTAATAGCCACTGCATCACTTTGGAAGTTGATACAGAGGATGCATATCAGGTGATGATAAAACCTTGATCATGGTTAAATTCTGTAATCACCCTAATCCTAAATGTTCCCCCTGCTTTTCAGTTTGTGGCCAAACAAAGTGAATTATGAAACGCCTCAAGCTTGAATTGCTTCCATATCCAATCAAAACACATTCAGTATAGTAAATATCAACTGGATGTTATTCAAGTTATCCAATCTCTGAATGCCCCATCCTGAATGAAGCATGTCAGTTGTAATCATGTTGCATTTACATCTTTCTGTGACTGCCTTGTTTATGTCCAGGTATAGAATAATTAGAGACCCTGCAGGCTGGCTGAATGTGGACAAAGAGACAGGCTTGATTAAGGTGAAAAGCGTCATGGACAGGGAGTCCACCTTCCTCAAGGACAACAAATACACAGCACTTATTGGAGCATATGACAATGGTAGGTAGGAAGAAAGACTTGGTTGTAAATGCTCATCTTGTTTGCAATACTGAAGAGCCCAAAAAAGTGACTATAATGAAAATATGGACCTTACCTTACTGTGATCTTACTGCTTCCCTAGAACTGATTGTAATTTGCTCTCCTTTATGTATGTTTGTGTATGTCTCTCTCACCTCACCAGATGAAGTCCCAGCCACAGGAACTGGTACTTTAATTATCCTTCTTACAGATGTCAACGACAATGCACCCACCATTGACGAACGTGAACTCAAAGTGCGTCTCCTTTCTGAAACACTTAATGGTTCTCATGTTTTTGAGCAATCTTAATTTGACATTTTAAAATGTATATGTTTTGGGAGAAGAATCAGTACTGTGTGATGGGTGTAATTATGAAATATACTGATATTGAAGATGTGACTAAATGAATGAATTCAAATCAGTAATTAAATAATAACTTTAGAGGTGAAAGTAACCGAAAGCCAGTGGTTTGCAATAATATAATCCGTATAAACAAAGGCTCTGACATTGTTTTCTCAGGTGTGTAACAAGAATTCGGCTTCTCAGCTGCTGTCAGTAACAGATAAAGATGGACCGCCATATGGTGCTCCATACAGCGTTTCCTTACAAGGCTTGTCGAAGAACAACTGGACCGCTCGGATGAATGACTCCAGTATGTAAACTATTAATACTCAACTGAAAATGAAACCTTTTCTGATCCCTAGGGAATTTTTTGTAATTTAAATTTTTATACACATTGCAGGCCATTCAGTCAAATAACCAGTGCCCAGAGAAACCCATATGTCCTTCCTGGGGAAAAAAACAAAAGCAGAAAACCCCCACAATATATAATTTGGATCAAGAAAGAGTGTAAAAAGATTTTAAATTGTTCAGGTGCTGAAAGTTTTCTTCAAATTGTCTGTCACTGATGTTCTGCTCAGATAAGCACAGGAAGTTCAATGTTATTGGCCTTTTTAATTTAATAAATCAGGTACAGGCTGTGTACAACGCAAAGTAAGTTCAGAAACCTAAATAAGTTTCAGGAATTAGGTCAGATGCTTCAGTTGAGCTAAGATTACAAATCATTTGCTGCATTTTAAATGATTTAAGTTTATAGGGGATATGATCATGGCACTGCCTGAGGAGAACACCTCAGTGGGGGAAAAAAGCCCCTGCTTGATTTGATTTGGCAAAGATGTCTTAAGCACACAACAATTATTTGTGAACTTTTAAGTCCACAGTCTACCACTGAGTGTATCACTATATTGCTGGAATTAGACAAAATGATGAAGTAAATGTTCCTCTTATGATTTTGTTGCAGAAACAGGCATCCTTCTGAATTTAGCCACTGAGCTGGCCAGTGGGGAGTACACTGTGGTCCTGAGGGTTTCAGACGCTCAGGGCCTAGCGCAGGACAGCACTGTCCAGGCTACAGTCTGCGACTGCAGTGGGGAAGAAGTCATCTGCAAAGGGCGTGTGGCAGGTGGCCCTGAACTGTCTGTAATCCTGGGGATACTGGGAGGCATCCTATTGCTCCTCAGTAAGTGTGACATTAGATTTGTGTTAATGTTAATTGTTGCCCAAGGACACTTTGACATGCAGCGAGAGGAGCCAGGGATCGAGCCAACTACCTTCCGATTAGTGGACAACCCGCTCTACCTCTGAGCCACAAATGTGGCACGTAGTGTGAACGTGCTTTGAGTGGTCGGAAGACTAGAAAGGCGCTATACAAATACAATTTACCATTTTAAATATGGAAAGATGCTGATCTTAATTCATTCAATCATGTGGATGTGTTGTATTAAGCTTGTGCTCTCTATGTTCAGTGTTGGTGTTGCTGCTGCTGTTGTTTGCAAGACGGAGACGAGGAGAGAAGAAGGAGCCTCTACTGCAGGACGATGATATCAGAGACAATATCTATTACTATGATGAAGAGGGAGGCGGAGAGGATGATCAGGTAAATTATTACAGATGTAATAAGGCATCATACCATTACCTAATGTTATCAAGGTAGTCCATCAAAGTCTGAGATCAGTGTTTCCCAACCTTTTCCCAACCTTTTCCCCTGACTAAGTAACACTGCATTAAATATAATATGAAATGTCCATAGAATAAGACAACTGAGTACAGAACAACTAATATAAACTACAAGTCTCTGTAGTAATTGTATTAAGTGTCCTTTTCCTTGATGCTTAGCCATTGTTCTATTAGCGCTAACTACATATTTTTTAAAATCAGGATGAGGCTGTTTAGCATCTTAAACAAATTTAGACATTTTCAAAGTTAAGATTGAACCCCCAACTTGGGAACCACTGCATTAGATAATTCATATTTCTGTATACATTTCTGTAAAGACATATAGATCATTCCGTATACCTTTCTGTATAAATATTAGATCATTCTATATAGATTTTGCATATCATCATATACCTGACATAAAAATGTAATTAAAGCTTCAGCATCTTTTGTGTAACCCCCCGACATGTGTTCTACATCAGGACTATGATCTGAGTGTTCTTCACCGTGGTCTGGACAACCGACCTGAGGTGTTCAGGAATGATGTTGTGCCGAACTTCATGCCAGCTCCACAGTACCGACCTCGTCCCGCCAACCCAGAGGAAATCGGCAACTTCATTGATGATGTGAGTCAAAGATTCAAGCGCTCATACAAACTAAACAAAAATCTAACATGGTTACAATAGGTCATTTACCACTGCTTTTATAAATTAGTTTTTATAGAGAAAATAGAGAGAAATATTTGTTTGAACTCTTACACAATCCCATGTTGCCAAATTCTAAACATTTTCAGTAATCTCCAAGTGATATAGTGGGTGTCTGTGGCTCAGGCAGACAGTACATGTTGAAATATCCGTGAGCAAGATACTGAAACCCAAATTGCTCCCGAGTGACAACGGTGTATGAATGGGTTAGTTTTTGTTCAGTGGGCTTTGAGTCATCACTGAGTGAAAGTGTGTGACAGGGCAAATGTGGCATGTAGTGTAAAAGTGCTTTTTTGCTGTCGGAAGACTGGAAAGGCGATAGTACAGGTACATTTACCACATTTTTTATATATATATATATATATATAGCAAGCAAAACAATTTGCCCTCAAAGTTGATGTGTTAGAAGCAGAAAAAATGGGCAGCATAAGGATTTGAGCAACTTTGACATCACTGAAAGTTGATTTACATTGTGCCTATTAAAATTCAATTTTATTAAAAGTAGTCCAAGGAAGGAAAAGCGGTGAACCAGCAACAGGGTCATCGGTGGCCAAGGCTCATTAAGTCACTTGGGAAGCAAAGGCTGGCCCATGTGGTCCAATCCAATAGACGAGCTACTGTAGCTCAAACTCCTGAAAAAGTTAATGCAGGTTCTGATAAAAGGGTGTCAGAACACAGTGCATCAGTTTGTTGCGTATGGGGCTGCATAACATTATGATCACCTGTGCACCCATTATGGTTATAATGTTATGGCTGATCGGTCTATAACCTCTGCTTCTCCTCTTAGAACCTGAAGGCAGCTGACAACGACCCGACGGCGCCCCCCTACGACTCCCTGTTGGTGTTTGACTATGAAGGAGGTGGCTCTGACGCAGGAAGCATCTCCTCCCTGAACTCATCGAGCAGCGGAGACCAGGACTACGACTGCCTCAGCGAATGGGGACCCCGTTTCAAAAAACTGGCTGACATGTACGGAGGAGGAGAAGATGAAATGCTGTAAATGTACTAAAGAACAAACAATATGGTGGCTGCAAATATGGCTTTGTGAATGTTAAACTAATGTGTAAACATGACTGATGAGCATACAAGCCAGACATCAGTTTCAGTCCTGTTATCAGTTAACAGTCACTGCTCAGAACAGGGATGAGTTTGCTATTTTTTTTTTTTTTTATACAAGTTCCCCAAGACTGCCTGTCTTTTAGATCCCTGTTTGACTTCTAGGCTAAACACTATTGATGCTCTTTGTTCAGTTTTTGTTGTGGAGTCGCACCACCGCACCATTTAATGTTGATTTATGGATTTTGTGCAGATATTTTAGCCTGTGTTCTAGCTTATTGGATGTCACTGGACATGCACAAAGATGCTTGCAGTTGCACTGTAACATTTGTGTAATTTTTGCAATGTATGGTACTTTTAATTTTTTCAGTTTTTTGTGGAATTTGATTTCTGCTTCAAATTACTTTGTTTTGTATTTCTGTTTGAGGAATGAAATAATAAATGATCAAGGTGAAATCCAGGTAGCCAGCCAACATTGCCCTTTGAGGTTGTGGTCAATGAGTTTTCAATAAATGCTTTTTAAAAGGTTCAGTTGTTCAGATGTTCAATTGACATCCTCTTCACACCGTAATCTCAAACACTTTTTGCAGTTACCTTTTAAAGGTACTTTGATTAAAAAAAGAAATTCTAAATGAAACATGCATTTGTAAGAGTTATCTTAATTACAATGATACACTGAACACTGGGAAAATTACAATCCAATTTGAGTAACTTCACTATTCTATATTTTAGTTGGACCACTGTCTGTGAGGGTCATGTTTTTTTTACTTTTCCAGTGCTTTCAACACAGACAGTCATGGACCCCCACATACTGTGATCGGTCAGTGAGATAGTTAATGCTCCATTCAGCCATGTGGCAGTCTGTGTGTCTTTGCAGCACAGGGGCCCCAACAGGGTACAGTGCTCTTAAATAGGTGGGCTTTTTAAGAGGTTTTATACATCCAAAAAACCATAAAATTCAGAGCAGGCATCTAACCTTTTCTCAAAACATGTAGCTACACTAGGCTAGTAAAGTGGGTGCTGCTTCAAATTTTTAAGTTTTATGGTATATACACCCTATATACATAACACAATATAATATTAGAAGAAATAGAAGATTATATTATACTTGTACTGGGCATATATAATAAACATAATTAAAGCTGCAAGCAGCGATGAACGGGCCCTAGCACTCCACGCAACTCGGGGTGTGCTGCGGCTGCATCATTAAAATTTGGTTTGAATTGAGAGTAAATTCTAGTTTTTGTAGAAAATTTGTAGTACGTACATCTACAAGACCCTAAATTACATAGCTGGGTATTTTGGTTTCCAGCTGTACAAACATACACTTTGTCACATTTAAAATGAATCACAGGTGTCTAAGAAATTTCTTGACAATGACAGAAATTAATTCAGTAATTAAAGACAAAAAGTTGCTATTTTATGTGTTTTTTATTTAATAAAGACATAGAAAATGTATACATAAAATGGAAATACATACAAATGTGTATTATATTTCACTAAATGTCTTTGATTTGATGATGTACAGTCATTGTAAAAATAGCAATTTTCCTATTGCTGGGGTTGGGTCAGGAAAAGTAATTAAATTGCATGCTGCTTTTTTATTTTGGGGCAGTTGTCTCTGCTGTTAAACTCATGAGTAGATTATTTTTTAACCTTAAGGCAAGGGTTAACCTCACTGTAGTTGCAAGGTGCAGATATTGTAAAAAAAAAAAAAAAAAAAAAAAAAATGAACATGACAAAATTTACATAATCCAAGTTTTTGCGGAATTGTCCATCATATCAATATAGCGAAACTGATAGTTTACTTTCCCTTTTTTGCGCAAATCTACGCACTCCGCCACATCCATCATGCTTTTTCTGATCATTCGAACTCTGGTAGTGACCACTAAGAACTTGCTTGTCGCTTTTTTCATGCAGGATAAAGTTTCTGTTCCTGGCTTTTACTTTGTCACAGTGTACCCAAGCTGAATACATTATGTTGGTTTATATACGTAAGTAACTGGGTGGCATTGATACACTAAACAGAATGCATTCCACACTTGTGTGATGTTTAAAAATTGTCTCACTATTTCAAGTGCTAAATTTATGTACACCCGGATCAAAACTCAAACCTACGTTACTTATTAGGAATCTACTCTGATCCCTAGTTGTTACACGGCACACAGGAGGCAAAGATGGAGGTGGGTGTTTATCCACTGAGCTCTTCTCCATCACACAGTATGTCCTGCCATTCAGCTGCACAGCGTCCAAATGTAGCTGTCTTTGCTGCAATCTAGAGAGGACATGATAACTCCAGGTCACTGAAGGGGGACATTAGGCAGCCCAGCACATCCTCCAGACCAAAGAGCTTCCTGGTACCAGCTGCTAGAGCCTTTCTGGACCCCCGGGAAAGGCCCTTACCACCGGGATTAAGTCAGCTGTCCTGAGAGGAAGAGGAGAGATATTTAGTCGCTTTGGATACTTAGTTTAGTTTGGAATTTGTTTTGGTTTAGAGTTTGGAATTTTCACTAAACAGCTTTTCATGCATGCCTTTCACTGTAACCTTGCTCTAATTGTATTTGAATTTGAGTTGGACAACATACTGTAGCATAATTCTCTTCAGTTTTTCAAGGCACACTTTTAATCAAAAGAAATGTACAGAACAAATAAAACAAATATTAGAGGAACAAATGTGAAAGAATACATTCCCATGATTTTGTAGAATACAATGCAAATTTTTACATTTTGGCATCATTTCACAATTCAATTCTCTGTCAAAATAATTTTACAAAGATTAAACACTGCCTTAGAAACACCACTTTCAGCCACTTGCGGGTTTCTGCTAAGCACCTATAGTTTGAGCATTTCTAAAAAATGCAGATCAAAATCCGACCTGGGCCGCTGCGGTAAGGACCCAGCCTAATGGAACATGCGCTCTACCAAGTGAGCTACCATGCGCTCACAGTAGTTTAACAGATTTTGATCAAATCAGAGTGACTGCTGTGACTACATGACTGTTACACTATTCTGTAAGCTACCGTGCGCCCCTAATTTAACATATTTTGATCAAATCAGAGTGACTGTTGTGACTACATGACTGTTACACTATTCTGTAAATCAACAGAAAACCTTCAAAATCTCTCTGAGGCCAAAGTCAGTTGAGGGTGAGGGACTTTTTGCTGTGAGGCGACAGTGCATTTATATAAATGTCCTAAAAGTAGGACTTAAAAATAACTTTGACAAATATCTGCACATTTATTAAAGACTTGCATTATTCTGTATTACAGTGGTCAGATCAGATCAGTCAAACCACAGTGAATAAATGTAATCAACTGTTCAAATACTGACTGGCAGCAACATGTTTTATTTTATTAATTTATTATTTGCTGCTGCAATTATTGATATTCTGGTGGATAATGCTTATGATTAGAATGTTTTAAAATGATTTGATTTTCAGCCTCACATGACCTACTGGAAATGTTGATTAAAATGTGTTCAACCCTAAGAGACATCAGACTCGCCCTGAATATGTTATTATTTATGATGTAGATTAAAATGGGAAATGGTGGCTTAGTGGTTTGCACTGTTGCCTCACAGCAAAAAGTCCCTCACCCTCAACTGACTTTGGCCTCAGAGAGATTTTGAAGGTTTTCTGTTGATTTACAGAATCAGCAACTGGTGGAACTGTAGCTTTATAGACACGTCTGTAGAATTTCTTGCTGTAACTGCTCTGTTTCCAAAAGGAAAACAGCTATTGACATTTAGCTACTACGCATGGCTTTAATGCATTGTTGATTTCTGTCTGCCCCCTAGGGGCCTCATTGAGGTGGTGTTCATGGTTTGACCAAATATTCTCAACCCTCATTAGTGAATGACACTGCCTCATTTTTTAAGGAAATAGCTCAGATGTGATCAGTGTGACAATACTATCTGCAGATGATGACTATGAGATGAGGGGGATAACTCTGGAGAAAGCTAGTAAGTGGACCTTGAAGTTATTTTGCCAATGCTATACTTTTCCTGAGGTCAAAAATACTCATGTCTGCAACAAGATTGATTCCACCTCCACATTTCACCATCTACCATTGTCAGATAAGTGTTGTCTTAAGATGAATATAGTAATGTTTTATTGATGTTAAAATGTTACAGATGTCACCTAAATAAAACAATAAAACCACCTATTCCATTACCTTCCCTCTGTGTGTAATCCCATTCTGTACAAACTGTCCTGTGGCATCTGACTTCTCCTGAGAGTCCATGCTGCACCGAGTGGAAAATGCCTGTTGCTGCCCGTTATTTTGGTTTTCCCAGCGGGCAAATCCTTTATTTTTAGATGTTTTCCTATTAGTCCTATATTTCATTTTGGGGAAGGTGTGGGAGCCACCATCTGTAGTTCCCCAGCTGTGTTCGGGCCACAAGGGCTCAGTTTGGGTGGCCTGGCTTGTGGTGGCCCTCTGCAGGCGCACAGAGATCCTCTGGGCTGAGCCAGTCATAAGGGTGATGGACTGAGGATCCAGAGCTGGACCTGCTGAGGTGATTGTTGGGAACTCAAACACCTCGTCCTCATCTGAAGGAGGGAACACAGAAAATAGGAATTTGGCAATCAAATAAATAACTAAATAATTTGTATAGATTTTTTTTTTTTTTTGCTGTTTGTGTTTTGTTTAATAAATGTAGCTGAAGATAACCTTCACAGGTGGGCAATGAAGGGCTGCTGGGTAGTGAGCTATGGGTCAGTCTGGCTGGAGAAACATTGCCAAGAAAGTTGGAGCGGATCAGCTTCCTACAGGCCAGAACCAGCAGCTCCCGACATTGTTTATGACAGTTTACTCCACAGTCTGCAAAGTAATATAGACACATTAGCTTATGTTCAGGACAAAAGTTTCAAGAGAGGCAAATGGACAGGCAGATAATACTACTTGATTTCAAGATAGTAGCATGATCTGGGGATCATGTATGAAAATACAAAGTGTCCGTTCAGTTTCACATTTCTTAAAAAGGGTCAATTCACCCTATCACCAAAACCTGGACAAATAAATGGTAAATGGACCTGTACTTGTATAGCGCCGTTCTAGTCTTCCAACCACTCAGTGCTTTTACACTACATCCCACATTTGCCTTTTCACACACATTCACACAGCGATGGCAAAGCCCATCCCTACCTATATCTGAGTAGGGGAAAATTTGAAAATATTTGCAATTAGGGTATAAGTGTTCTATCTTAGGTTATCTGCTGACTTATGTTCTTTTACAACATTAGATTGTTCCATGCATTGTTTATTGTGCATCTTATACTTTTTTTATATAATTATTTTGCTATATTTTAATTTGGCATGCCTCTTACAATTAAACAGTACAGACAAATATTAAACTAAGACCAATTTTCACAATTGAAAACAAAACAAATTATTTAGCAGGCTGTTATTTTTTATAGCTCATTCATCATTAAAACTAAGACAACCATAATATAATGTAAAACACATCACTACTACAACAGAACATCTAGACAGACCTACAGACAGACCAATAGACAGACCGAAAAAACTACTTATATACAGTAATTAAGTATTTGTACTTAGTTATTTCCCACCTCTGCAGACTTGCTAAATGCATATATCACCACTGCCATCTCTTTACCAAGATATAGGAATAGGATGTCATCCCAAACAACTAGAGTAAGGGCCTCATGTCTCCCTAAAAAGTCAGTTGCAGCAATGACAACTGGCGAGCTAGGAACTTTCCATTCCTAGCAAGGTCTTCAGCAGAGTTCTCCTCAAAAATTGTCGAGCTAAGACAGAACAGGCAGGATTTTGTAGGTGTAAGGTTTAGCATGCATGGATGAGATTTTTACATCTCTTACATTTTTGCATTGAGTGTTTGATAGCATCATACGAAGTACCACCCAAAACTGCTACCATCATTAGGGAATTATATGAACACTTCTTCATGTTCATCATCATCATCACCATCAGTCACTACTATTAGTGTAGTTGTTGCTGTGCGCATATCTACGGCCACCCACCTAGAGCCGGGGTCTGGCCGAGGATTCTGCCTCTTAAAAGGAAGTTTTTCCTTGCCGCCATCGCCAAGTGCTTGCTCATGAGGGGGAACTGTTAGGTCTCTGTAAATAATTTTACATTTCTGGACCTGCTCTATTTGGAAAAGTGAAAATTCCTAAGATAACTTCTGTTATGATTTGGCGCTATACAAATCAAACTGAATTCAAATACAGTATCATCTTGGACAACACCAATAGAGCCATTCCCAGTCTTAAACATTTCTGAGCAAGGCATTTATTTATGTTGACTGTTGTTGACTATTACGATAAAATTAAAGTAGATTTAAATTTCACTTAACAGAGGAATGAAATGGAACAATACCTTTGCACTTGTAGCCCTGTTTGATGATTCCCCAGAGCTGTAGCTCCAGAAATGTGAGGAAGCAGCAAGGTAGGTACAAAAAAAAAACAAAATAAAAATATAATATTAGGAGATAAAAGCATGGAGACATGGTGCTAAAGCCATAAACAATCTACAAGTCATCACAATATTTCCTGTAACCTTGTTGCCTGTTGCCTCTGTTAGAATGTAACCTCACAGTGTGTGGTCCCTGCTCAAGAGCCAGGCACAGCTCTGGCTGTGGAATTAGACTGATTGGCTCATAGCAGGTCAGTTGGTTTAATTGCAATGGTTTAATTGCAATGGTTTAATTGCTATTTTCATTCATTGATAGGAGCAAAATTAAGGAGGCACGAAATGTGCAGTGACAGAATCATAGAGATACACACAAATCCAGCACAATGTTCACAGAAGGTGGGCTTCAGGTATGTCATCTCCTGGAAGCTGTGGATGAAACCCGGACCCATCTTACACTGGAGCAGTGGGTTAGCCCGAAGGAAATACGCTATCATCTCATCCTTACTGATCAATCCATCTCTGAGAGAAAGAGGCAGAAAGAGAGAAGAAAGAAAGGAGGTGAGAATGTAAATTACTCCAGAGAAGAAGTCATTTACAGGTGTTCCAGTCGTAAATGGTAAATGGACTGTACTTTAGCAAGTAGTCTTCCGACCACTCAAAACACTTTTACACTACATGCCATACAGTGATGGCGATCAAACAGAAACTAACTCATTCATTCACATTCACACACTGAAGCACAGCATGGGTAGCAATTTGGGATTTAGTATCTTGCAGAAGGATACTTCGACATGCAGCGGAAGAGCTGGGGATCGAACCAACAACCTTCCGATTAGTGGACGACCCGCTTTACCTCCGAGCCACAGCCGCCTGTCCTACAAGGTCAGACAAAATGTAACACATTATTCATCCCTAAGATTCAACGAAAGTCACAGTATTGCTGGAAATAAACTAGGTGTTTAACCACATGAACGTAACATTTCTGAGACACAAGCAGACACAGACACAAGCAACAGTTCAAACGGACCCAGGCTGCATGAGGCAGTCATCCTGCATACCTGAACATGTAGTTAAAAGCAAGTATATCTCCAGCCTCATAGCAAAGGAATGTGTTCTCTCCTAAATTTTCCCTCAAACTGCCTCTTTAGAATAGTTCTCAAACTGTGGTCACACCTAAGGGCAAGTACAATCAATGTATCTTATATGAGGCCAAAATAAAACCTCAACCTCAATGCAAATAACAAAAATGTCATCTCCACTACTATGTTGGAGATGGCATCAATAATGGTCCTTTATTGATCCTCCATAGGGGAAATTCAAATTTGGCACAGCAGCACAGGGGAATAGAAAAGAGTAGAGAAAGAATAAACTACAACATCAGCCATGATAGGTACCATGTGTAAGTGTGAGTAAGTAAGCAAGTACATAGCACCTTTCAAGAGCAGGGACCTCACAAAAAGCTTCAGAAAAGAAATTCAGGAATAAAGCTTCCAACTTACATACAGATTTTCAATGTATAAAAAGCACAATAATATTTATATTACAAAAACATAACATTATAAAGATTGAGAAATTACACTTCCTTTCAGTTTTAACAGTACAATCTGATTAATAATCTGATTTTATGATCCTTTGCAGTATTTGAGAAGCTATACTATGAAAATCTAGCTAGTTAGCTACAAGTTAATCTTAAATTGTAAGTAGTTCAGCACTAAACATTTATTTAAAGTAGCAAGCTACACTACAAGCTACTGAAGTAAGGTTAAAGCAGACCTCTAGGACTGCCTTCTTTCATTTACGTAATATTAGAAAAATTAGACACATCCTATCACAGACAGATGCAGAAAAACTGATCCATGCATTTGTTACTTCAAGGCTGGATTACTGCAACTCTTTATTATCAGGTTGCCCCAATAAGTCCATTAAAACGCTCCAATTAATTCAGAACGCTGCAGCACGAGTACTGACAGGAACTAGAAAAAGAGATCACACCTGTACTAGCTTCTCTGCAATGGCTCCCTGTAAAATGTAGAATAGAATTTAAAATCCTCCTCCTCACCTTTTAAAGCTCCTCATAGTCAGGCCCCTTCATATCTTAAAGAGCTCATAGTACCCTATTACCCCTCTAGAACACTACGTTCTCTGAATGCTGGGCTACTTGTGGTTCCTATAGTCTCTAAAAGTAGAACAGGAGCCAGAGCCTTCAGTTACCAAGCTCCTCTCTTGTGGAACCAGCTTCCAGTTGTGGTTCGGGAGGCAGACACCCTCACCACATTCAAGAGTAGGCTTAAGACATTCCTCTTTGATAAAGCTTATAGTTAGGGCTGGATCAGGTGAGTCCTGAACCATCCCTTAGTTATGCTGCTATAGGCCTAGACTATCGGGGGATTTCCCATGGTGCACTGAGCTCCTCCTTTCCTCTCTCTTTCTGCACTCATTCATGTCCCATTAATGCATGTTACTAACTTCACTTCTTCCCCGGAGTTCTTGTGCTTTCTCGTCTCGCAGGTTCTTGTCGATCCTGGTGGAGCCTCCTGCCATGGTCCTGCTAGATTGCCATTGCCAATACTGTTGTTGCTGTCTGTCTGGCTGTCTCGCGCTCTCTCTCTCTCTGCCTCTCTCTCTCTCTCTCTCTCTCTCTCTCTCACCCCAACTGGTCGAGACAGACGACCACCCACCTAGAGCCGGAGGATCTGTCCTAGGTTTCTGCCTTTTAACAGGCAGTTTTTCCTTGCCCTTGTCGCCAAGTGCTTGCTCATGGTGGTACTGTTGGGTCTCTGTAATTAATGTTTTAAAGAGTTCGGTCTAGACCTGCTCTATTTGAAAAGTGTCCTGAGATAACTTCTGTTATGAATTGACGCTATACAAATAAATAAATTGAATATACATATGCACTCATTATTTTGTAGTGTAAATTATGACACCACAAAAGAAATGTGGCAACATGTAGGAACATGTGCTTTAAGTGATGGAGAAGCAGAGAAAATCACTTTGGAGCTTTTCCTTCAAGAGAAAATTAAAAATAAAAATATTGCTTTTCATAATATTTCAGCTGCCCTGCTACTTAGCAGGGGAAATAGCTTTCAACTGGAAATGTTAGCATTTTGAAAATAGCTATGTTACTGGCAAATATGGTTGGACGAACAGCTATGTGTGGCATCTCCCAACACTGGTCAGACTACCTGGGACTGTCGCTGGTAGTACATAAACCACAGTTTGAGAACTTTGTTCTAGCAAGCCAGGTCATAATGCTGTGACTAGGCTGGACTAAAATCTACAGAATTTAATTATTTGAACATCTGTTCAAAACTTTCAGTGTTCCCCACTCACTGATCTTTGTCCAAAACGCAGAAGGAGTCCAGGAAGGGAAAGTTAGCAGCGATGCTCTCAAAATCCTCTTGAGAAATATAGTCATCATGGTCATGGTCATAATTCCTAAATACAGACTTTTCCAATGACAAGAAACAAATTACTACAATATTATTTTACCCACATGTGTTTACTTCTGTCTATTCTATAGGCATCATTTGGAAATTTTGGATGTTGTCTACTCACATCCACCACCTTCCTGATATGTTTATTGACCACAGAAGGGTCTGGTTTAGTGGTGACATGGGAGGCCCAGTCCAGTGGAGCCAGGGGCTTGTTGGGAGTCGTTGGTGAGGTATGCTGTGAAGAAGGACACACATACACAGGACTCAGCAAATACTCTGTTACACCCAGATTACAGATTTCCAATGCTACAAATACACTATATGGACAAAAGTTTTTGGCCACACGTGTTAATTATTGAATTCAGGTGTTTCGATTAAATACAAAGTCATTACAGTCCCTGTTGGTATAATGGTCAGGCGGTCGAATACTTTTGTCCATAGAGTGTAGTTCAAAAGCAACAAAGTAATATCTTTCTTTTCTTTCTGAATGCTAAATGACAGCACTAGTTGTCAAAAAGAACTATTATGGTACACAAATAGTGTAAAAGGGTCTGGGCACGGTCACTTTCAGCATAAATATAAATTTTGTTGAAACTGTGTGCACTCAGTGTGTGGACTTACCAATGACTTTGTGTTACGTGGTTCCCTTAGCAATGACAGCTCATAAATTTCATCTTCTGTGTAATAAAGGTCTAAAGAAAGCTGAAAACACAGATTTTGGATATTATTAGTTGAAAATTCCTTGAATAAGCTTTCATAATGTATACTGAATATTAGTCATATATCACACTCGTGAGTGGTAGTTGAAAGTATTCCAGTGCTTATCTTTGTGTTGAAGGGATTTGGTGTCCCTTCCTCATTAAGAGTCAAATCAACAGAGCACTATACATTAGAACAACTTTCAAACTGTTTCTCAGCAAAATTTTGGAAGAAACAAGCCTCTGACAAGTCTGATTTCTGAGCAATAAACTGCAATTTTGGAAATGACCAACTAAGTATTCTTGGCCTTCTGAAGCTAATTGCAGCTTTCCATAGTGTCAGTAACAATATTCTGGCTGATAGGTTGGAAAACTTAAACCATAGCTTTAAACCAATTTTAATCTCAGCAATCAGGGACCAATTTCAGAAAGATATTTTAGACTGATCTAAAGTGTTAGACCAATTTTGCTCTTAAGTTTATCAGATCAATAATAAAAGTTTATCACAAAAATAAAAAGTAATCTAAAATGGAAGTCCAGAAGACATACTCTGAATTGAGCTGAGCGGCTTAACACACCTGCTCCTTGCAAAGTTTTAATCTACCCAGAATTCATGGCAAATTAGTCCTACTTAAGATTGTAAGCTTTGTGCAACAAAAATAATTTAGAGTTGGTCTGACTAGTCCAACCTAAGCCATAGTCAGTCAAGTCTATATTTCCCTAAGTTAATAAATTCTCATCACAGAGGGTGAACATTCCATATTAATAAGTGGAAATCACAAATCGCTTTGTTCAACTCAGCTCAAAGATTCATAGTCACTGACTATGTAGTTTGTTCACTTCTTCTCTAAGCTACGTGGTCAAATGCACTTCAGTATGTACATCAGCAAGTAAATACATGACCATTTGAGGCTTTTAACAAGGTAACATACAGCCGAGCTGACAATCACAAGTGCAGTCACCAGTGCAGAGCTCCATTCTAGAATAAGAATATAAGCATATTGACCAAAATGTATCGTATGTTTGTTTGTATGTAACTATTCTTTTGAGAGTGACACAAATTTTCCTCAAATTGTAGTTGTTGGTTCAAGAGAGAACTTACAATGAAATACAGTATATCACAGCATACAGTGAAAAAAAACAGCTTTCCTGCTCAGGCCTTTTTTTTCTTCCCCCCAAATACAAAGCTGTGTGTGCATTTGTTACAAATATGCTTGACTACTGCAGTGACTAATCCAAACCCTCACCGTTAACAGGTAGATGAGGTCCATGTTGGGCTCCACTTGGGCCACTGCACTCTGCAATGAAACTAACTCATTGAAGGTCATGTAGAGCTGATGCATCTTCACCAGGTTCACCTTATTACTGTCATCAACCCAGTCAGGAAAGACTACATGCACTGCAATCAGGTCCTTAAGGTGCACACCCAGGATGGGGATTTTAAAGCCTTGGCATTCATTGAAGGCCTTTCGGTAGCAAGAGTAGTTGTTGTTGGAAGAGACCAACTCTGTCATCTCGCTCCAGATCTGTGGAATTTAAAGTTGTTCAGATATGGCAATTCATGTGACACGTCTAATTTCATAACTAATGATTTTTTAAACATTACATTAAAGTAAATCGAATCAAATGAAAATATCTATTGAAATTTAATTAAATTACTAATATAATTAAATTGATTAATATAATTACCTGCAGCTTTTTATTGACTGTAAGCAGCTGGTAGTGACTCCTCTGGGCTACTTTGAACACCTCTCACACTCAGGAGCTACTTTTAGCAATAAAAAGCTTTGTGTAGGCTATTACTCTTGGGCCAACAACATAGGAGTCTTAAAGTTAGGACTGACAGCCACAGAAAATACCATGTTCTGACAGCCACCTTTGAAGCTGACATGTTAGGAATCTTTGATAATAGAGTTACGTTTTGGATGACTATTGCTTTAATAGATCAGAATCAGAAATACTTTTTTGATCCCGGGGGAAAATTTGTTTGTTACAGTTGTAATAGTACTCATATATAATAGCTAACACAATATATAGAATAGAAATGAATGTATAGATATATACACACATAGTAAAAGTTAAAATGGCAATTGACATATAATAAGAGCCTAAGAAAAATTAAGATAGTAAGAGCCTATATACGAAGTAAATGTGAATCTAAACATATATAAACATATTCCACAGTATTGCTGACAGAAATAAAATAAATAGTAATGAGTTTCAAGATTGTGGTGTTTCAGCATTTATAGATAATTATAAAGAATGACATAATAATTAAGTGAATTGCACGTTGACCTGGGTATTGCACCTTAATCAACTTATTGCACATTAACAGCACCAGTTTAATGACTAGATCAATGCTTTTTTTTAAAGAACTGACACCAAGATACACATTAGGAAGTGAAATTAGCCACAGAGATCCTACGTGTAGAACCTTTGTGGCAGTGGCAAACTCAAAAAGTCAAAGTTGTGATGCATTTATTGTGAAACAGTTCCAAACCCTGGTTAAGATTAAAATTGTTTAATTTTGTCCTTTGTCCTTGGAAGCTGAGGGTGAAGCGACAGAGTCTGCAACTACACTGCTACATGCCACTGAATCCTACACACTGAATCTTTAAAATATATCTACACCTATGTCTACTACATATCTACTCCTCTCTAATAAAAACACACTACTGAAAAGGTCCAGTGTGTCAGATTTAATGGTATCTAGTGGTGAAGTTTCAGACTGCAACTAACTTAAAACTGCTTGTGTATAGGGATGTCCGATAATATCGGAGGGCCGACATTATCGGACATCCCTATACTCACTAAAAAATGTAATCAAGGAATTATCGGTATCAGGTTTTTATAACCAATGTTTGCTCTGTAGGCTTCAGCATTTCCTAGCCTGCATGAACGCAGCATGGAACGTTTACCGGCGCGCGCTAGATGACGTATAACAACAACTACACGCTAGACTGGTTGGTTGCTAACCGTGGCTAACAAGCAAACAATTTAAAGCTGAATGATTTAATATTAACACAAAATAAGTGCAATGCACCTTAAATATTTTACCCTGCTATGAGCTGTTCCTTAACCAAACTAACAATTGGCTTAGAATTTACATTAGCACTCCTTCAGGTGCATAATCGATTAAACACATTAACCAAAGCTAGCGCTTAGCTAGCAATTAACGCTTAGCTAGCGATTAGCTTTAGCGCTCTTTTCAGTATTAATACAATGAAAGTTGAAGTTGTTCTCTTATTTTGCACTGACAGTGTTTACATTTGGAAAGCCATGTTGCATTTATGTATGCATCCAGTGGGGCATCACAATAAAATTAGGCATAATGCGTTAATTTCACAATAGGAGATATGTTATGTTGTTACCTAACAGTTTTGGTGTAAAAAGCCTACATATATTGGCATCGGGTGATATCGGTATCGGAAATTGAGAGTTGGACAATATCGGAATATCAGATATCGGCAGAAAAGCCAATATCGAGCACTTGTGTATAATATTCCATTTATGCCAATAGAGCCTCCTAAATGTTACACACTGGACCTTTAACTATTTAATCATTTAGAGGCACAAAAATGTTATAGCATTGCAACTGCCACTTTTATTTTACATTTTCTTCCCTGGAGGGGCATCCTAGAGGGCACTCATGTTGTATCTATTATATTAAATAAGTGCTTTGTGGCAACCTCTTGAGAAAATGTATGTATGTTTATACGGCGCTTTTCCATTGACCCCAGTATGATGGAGTTTAACTGGAGCCAGCAGATAGCTGCAGTGAAAGGCATTTTGACTCATATCTCAATCCAGACATTGTGGCTGACTGTCTTTACCATTTCTACTTGGAAGGAAAAGTCTGTAACAAAACAGGCAACGCATGTTTATTTGACTACACTGGAGTAATGCATACTCCAGTGTGTGTGGATGTACATAAAATTGCATTCAAAGGCTGGTATTGACTTACCTTCACAACTTCTGGAGCCAGAAAAGAGTGAGTCTCCTTTAGTCGAGAAATGGAGCTGTGACTCAGTCCCCCCACCACGGCCATCAGAGTGTTAAAGTTCTGCAGCTGCAGAAGTTTCTGATGACAGAAAGTGACATGTTTAAGATATCACTTTTGCTTCTTTACTGTTTATCCTGCTCATGGGGCGCTGTTAACATTGCAGCCCCATCACTCCACCATCATTCTCAATTTTTGCATGTCCAAGTGCATAAAGTGTGCATTTCAGCCTGTGTGTGTGTGTGTATAAAAAAAGAGTGAAAGAACAATTTCCCCTAGGGGATTAATAAAGTATTTCTTCTTCTTCTTCTTAATAGTTAAGTGTGTTTTTGCTTAAAATACTTTCTCTCATTAATAGTGTTGCATATTGCTAGGCTATTGCTGTATGCACAATTCAGCAAGTCTGGGTTGAAAACTGGTCATATTCTTTAAAACCAAATTTAGTTTTTCTGCTTTTGTGCAAAACAAAAAACTGCATGCCCTCACTGACAGGTGATGTCATAAGCAACAGCTAAATTGACCATTCATAATAGATAGATACTTGACTATACAAGAAAGATATACATACAATAAAAATATACATTATATATTGTAATATAATAATAATAAAAAATTATTACCATTATACCATCAAATGTTAAATTATTTTCTCCATGTTTTCTACATTATGACTTCCTCATCTCATAATGACAACTCACTATCTCTTAAAAAGAATAGACCCCATAATTACGGGATAACAGGTGTGGCACTTTATTCTGCGACCCACCTGATTATTTGACCTGATAATTCAATTTGATTTTATTTATTTGTATAGGGGGGGGGAAGAGAGAGACAGAGAGAGAGAGAGAGAGAGAGAGAGAGAGAGAGAGAGAGAGAGAGAGAGAGAGAGAGAGAGAGAGAGAGAGAGAGAGAGACACAGCAACAACAACAGTAGCAACAACCACACTAACACACAAAGAATTTCAGCTATATTGCCACTGCAAACATTTTGATCTTACCTTATACGTGCTTTACTTTGATAGTTGTGACCAAATGGTAGTCTTCAGGTTCACAAATTTTAATAGCTGATGCTTGACTTTATATAACTGGAACACTGGTGTATGAATGAAATACTGGCGTCTATACAGTTTACTGTTGCATTTATGTAGGAAAACAGAGTCATATGCAATATGCATGCAAGGGTTCTGTTTTTGGCTGGGTGTTCAGGGTAGGATATGGAAGCCTGGACAATGTGAAACGTATGTGGTAGTCTGATCCAATCAGCTTCCTCCCTGAGGTCTGTTGTCAGCAGGAACATTGCATATACAGTATATTTTAACAGTGTTAGGCAAAGAAAATTATAGCCATGTTTTGTTTGGAACAAATAAACCCCTTGACATTGAAGATGGAAATGCTGTCTTACCTGAGCCACATGGATGTATTTGGTAATAACCTCTGCACGGGTCTGAGGTGTTAGCTTGCTGAGCACCATGAGCTGGACCCACTGCGAGACTCCGTTGAAAAGAGCAATGGAGCGCTCCAGGGTCGGGTTGTCCACCAGGCAGCTATGCATCACATAGCTCTGGTAATCAGTGAACTGGGGATAAAATGGAATTGCAGATTAGATGTCCAGCTGTCAGTTTTCAGTCTAATTTTCAGGGGCCTATAGGGTCCTCAGGTGCAATGTATAGGATAATGATTAAATTGGAAAATCCGTATTATGTCCAGCCCTCCACTTCTGTGTGACTGTGTGTATGTTTGATTACAGGAGTGGAGTCAGGTGTGCAGGAGTCAGGTCACCAGCTGCCAGCCATCATTGTCATCCTGCTCTGCTTCATATACCTGCTCCCCTACTTAAAACTCTGCCAGATTGTAGACTTTGTTAACACCGTCAGTTACGCATCCAGCCTTAAATGATTCACGTCTCTGTCTCTGCCAGATTAATAAACCTCTTCTCTTTTGCCTGCAGTTTCCCAACCTGACTCCTCCCACCAACATAACTCCCTCCAGTCTCATCTGCCTTCTACTTTTGGACACCATTCTTTGGACTGCCTCTCCCTTCACTGGACCCCTCCAAACCCCAGTTACGTTTCCACCTCAACTTTGGACTAATCTGCCAACCCCATCACCAAAACATTCCCATCTCAACCAAGTGATTAGTAAATATTCGTGAATTTGCCTATTAAGTTTAGCCCTTTGGGAGCACCAATGTGCCAAAAAGGCAATCTTCCAATGAGGTAGGAATACATACGTGCTATTGGAAATGCGGCCAAATTAAATTGTAAATTTAAAAGTATTTGTGGGGAAGGTGAGTAGTTAATGTTAACTCAAGCAGCAGCTTTCCATGTCACTATAAAACTTATTCACATACAAAAATTGTTAATTTTATCAGTTCCAATTTTTATCACAATTCCAATAACACCCTAAGTATAAACTTTGTTTTCTTGCTGGCATTTTTAACCTACGACCCACCTAGCCAGTGGAAAAAAGGCCAGTGGAAACAGTTCACCCAGAAGCCAGCTGGCTTCACATCAAAGCTCTTTAGCCAGTGCTTCTCACATAGAATAAGAATATACATAGAATAGAAAGTTGTTGTTTTTTTACATTCAAGCCTTTCAGGGCATTCCATCCAATAGTTGTGAAGAAAATGTTCAATAGAGAAAAATTCAATGTCAAATAGTAAGAGGATCACCATAGTTCAAGGTATTCTTCCTCTGGCAGCTATTTTTGTACAAAATGCAATTCATCCAAGCAGAAATGTTTTAGTCAGGACCAAAGAGGTGGACAGACCCACGAAAGGACCGACAGACCCTTGCACAAAAAGTAAAATCAATGGAAAATTGGACAAAAGCAGACCTGCTTGTAGACATACCGATATCCTCCGGATAGACTTGAACTCCAGGAAGGTGAGATGCTCAGCCAGCTCCATGGACTCCAGGTGGTCAAACAGCAGTGAGGCCTTGCCTTTCTTTGCCTGCTTCTTTCGCTGGGTCAGCTTGCGCATCCAGTCATATGATGGACTACAACGCAAAAAAAAACGAACACAGTTAATCCAGAAACGTATGGTATGCTTTAGAAAATGACACACCAATATGAATTATGGAGGATTTGTAGCTAACTAAAAAGCTGCAGAATCACCACTATGATCCTTCAAGGTTGTAGGTAGTTTAAGCTATGTCTATGTAGGTATTCAAGCCTGTTGTTTAAGATGCAAAACAAGAACAACTGGGCTTCCACTCATTAATGAGGTTGTGTCATTTTGATATTTTAGCATAAGGACTTTGGTTTAGGGTTAAGATTGGAATTGGTATTTATTTTACTTTAGGGTGAGGACTAAATTGCTTGCACAATTAATCTCTTACCCATATACTGATATACCTATACCTATTACCTATACTCATCTGGTCAATAGTTTCTACAAGTGTATCTATATGATATTGGTGTCTTACATGGTGGAGATGTCGAGGAGTTTGAAATGCTCCTCACAGCCAAGCTGGGCAGCCACATCTCTGAACTCTTCTGTTATCTGGATCAGACCCATGTCTAGATTGAACTCAGCAGGGAATGTCACTATCCAGTACCTAAACACAAACATATATATTTGATCAGTATATGTTTCGACACTGAAAAGATGATGAACCCATGACAGAATGGAAAACACCTAATTTTAGCACCAAAAAAACTTTCCACTGAAAAAAAGAATCACTGGGAAATAAAGTCTGGCATAAGATGAAATGAGTCTTGGTTTTCTGTGGTCTTGGGTTTAGATTTCACAGAGGCTAAGACACTGAAGGTGAAATCTTAATGTGGTAGTACCATACCTCATTAAATAACAAATCTTCAGCCTGGTTCTCTGGCAGTTGTCACCATTGCAGTCACGGTATGTGGGGTTAAGTTAAGGACAATTTGATTTGACAAACTAATACACTGTTATATCAACACCTTAAGCACATTAGTAATAAACTTTAAAGATTAGCTGCTGTGTGCGGCTGGCTGACAACATCATCATTTACAATCTTATGAGAAGCCTACATGTCTTCATCTCTCAGCATTTCTTTGTGTGGCTATTGCTAATCTGATTTGATTTTGATGGCAGATCCTCATCATGCTCATGTTTAAGTCAAGGTTTTATAATAGTGTGTCTAACTATTAACTTTATTGAAACAGATAATGTATCAACCACAACCACAGTGATTGGTCAGGTTTGTGGAGGTGAGAGAGTAGGCTAGGCAGGGTTTGAACTTCTTCTCTTTGTTGTAAGGTGTTCGGTCTAGGCCTGCTCTATTTGAAAAGTGTCCTGAGAAAACTTCTGTTATGAATTGGCGCTATACAAATAAAATTTCAAAATTTAAAATTGAAATTGTAATTCTTCATACAACTACTTCTTTCATTTTTTTGCGTGTACATCCAAGTACATCACCAAGAATAGTTTTGAGGAATTGTACAATCATTATTCATTGTGTCTTAGCCATAGACTGTGTAATAAATAGTGGACAGAGCCTTCGGGTCTGTGAAGTGAGACCAATGCATTTAAGCTGCATTCTTTCTAATGGCCACCAGGACTTGTTGGTAGCAAAAAGCAGTCCAGTTGCATGTAATGTAATAGATAATGACCCTACTTCTCACATGAGAACACAGAGCAGTAGATAAGACATCATTCTTTCCATCTTTGAATAAAGATGCAATGAATTATGCTTGTCAACAAAGCTCTAAATGACCTGGTTTAAATTAAATTAGCAAAATAATAAACAAAGTAAGATTTCCTGCAATTTATGCAATTGGATTAGATAAGGGATTATTTTACAGTGTGTTGAATTCAAAGCGCATATCCACAGCTAGCTGAAATAATAGTACTTCAAGATATTGCATATATGCATTAATGATATTAGGCACTGTGTTGATGTGTGTTAGCTGTAGTTCTGTATGCTTTCGGCCATATCGGATATATCATCAGTAGTTTTCCAGCCAGATCTGAGGATGTAAGGTACCAGCGATGCATCAGCAGCAGGCTGCGAGGAAGCTGGTTGGTCTGCAGCTCCCCATTGTCATCTATGAAGAGAAGTGAGTCATAAAATGTGCAAATTCAAATTTATGTCCATGGCGGAACAATAATCATGTTGTTTTTGTTAAAGGATCATTGTAGGATTATTATTATTACAGCAAATATATAAAACAATTTGCGACCTACATATGCTCTAAAACTCATGAAACATGGCACATGTCAGTGGTTACAAAAACTGACATGCCATATGGGTCTTACACATGGGCGTGGCAAAATGGCTTGATGGTGCCACCTAATGAGCAGCTTCATAGCCATGCTTTACATAGTGGGGCGGCTGTGGCTTAGAGGCAGAGCTGGTCGTCCACTTATCGGAAGGTTGTTGGTATGTTCCTCCTGCCATGTGCCGAAGTATCCTTGAGCAAGATACTGAACCCTGAATTGCTCCTGATGCTGTGCATCGGTGAGTGAATGGGCATGAATGCATTAGATTCTGTTCGATTGGCTTTGCGATCACTGAGTGATCATTTCTGCTTGCAGCTTCAATATTCAATATTCCATTTTTCCCATGAAAAGACCAGTCAATACTAACAAGTATTGTGTGTGTATCCAAAGCCAGATATATCTTCTTTCTCTGTGCCATAGAGCACCATTGTTGTCCTTCAAAAAGAAATTCCTTCATTAACATTAACAGACAGACAGACAGACAGACAGACAGACAGGTGCACAGCAACAACAGTATTGGCAATGGCAATCTAGCAGGACCGTGGCAGGAGACTCCACCAGGATCGATAAGAACCTGCGAGACGAGAAAGCACAAGAACTCCGGGGAAGAAGTAAAGTTAGTAACATGCATTAATGGGACATGAATGAGTGCAGAAAGAGAGAGGAAGAGAGGAGCTCAGTGCACCATGGGAAATCCCCCGATAGTCTAGGCCTATAGCAACATAACTAAGGGATGGTTCAGGACTCACCTGATCCAGCCCTAACTATAAGCTTTATCAAAGAGGAATGTCTTAAGCCTACTCTTGAATGTGGAGAGGGTGTCTGCCTCCCCGAACCACAACTGGAAGCTGATTCCACAGGAGAGGAGCTTGGTAACTGAAGGTTCTGGCTCCTGTTCTACTTTTAGAGACTATAGAAAACCACAAGTAGCCCAGCATTCAGAGAACATAGTGTTCTAGAGGGGTAATAGGGTACTATGAGCTCTTTAAGATATGAAGGGGCCTGACCATGAAGAGCTTTATAGGTGAGGAGGAGGATTTTAAATTCTATTCTACATTTTACAGGGAGCCATTGCAGAGAAGCTAGTACAGGAGAGATGTGATCTCTTTTTCTAGTTCCTGTCAGTACTCGTGCTGCAGCGTTCTGAATTAATTGGAGCGTTTTAATGGACTTATTGGGGCAACCTGATAATAAAGAGTTGCAGTAATCCAGCCTTGAAGTAACAAATGCATGGATTACTTTTTCTGCATCTGTCTGTGATAGAATGTGTCTAATTTTTGTAATATTACGTAAATGAAAGAAGGCAGTCCTGGAGGTTTGCTTTATGTGGGAGTTAAATGACAAATCCTGATCAAAGATAACTCCAAGATTCCTGACAGTGGTGCTAGAGGCCAAGGTAATGCCATCTAGAGTAACTATATCTTTAGACAGTGAGTCTCTAAGGTTTTTGGGGCCAAGAACAAGAATTTTGTTTTTTTCTGAGTTTAACATCAGAAAATTGCAGCTCAGTGATTTGACCAGCAGTGGACTTGTGACTGAAGGTAAGGCTACATCTGTTAATACAGTTGATGGTATATGTTGTACTAATAAACATAGTTAAGGCTAGTCATATTTAGCAGCGTAGTTTAGCAATTCTACCCTTCAGTGTAGCATAGCAGTGTATACGAATGATAAAGTTTTATTTGGCAAATCGGCTAAGCTTGAGAGAGCTTTTTATTTGAGTCAGCATGATACATCTTATGTGTTTAGCTGTAAACTACATTGTTGTTTGTATGTATTAAACTGGATACATATTAATAATTTAGCAGGGTACTTGACTGGCCCCTCCTATTGCCTGGTCTTTGGTTACGTTAAAATTCTAATTTTTTCCGTTTGTGTGGTCTACAGATAAATAAAGAATTCCAGAGAAAATGGCCAGACTTGACCATTGCACATCAAAAATTAAGGATGTAGTCTCATCAAGGACAGGAGCAACAGGAGTGACAATCAGACATATAAAATACATGCTTCTCCATGTATGAAAATGATTAGGCTTATCTTTGTTGACAGTCACCAATTCAGATTATATGTGGTTAGTTACTTTCCTTTGATCCTTTTTTTCCTTTTTTTTTTTAAAATAGCCCAATACAACTGAAGTACACAGAGACGTAGCTAACCACTGCCTTGGAGAGAAGGAAGAGGACCATTCTCAAAAAGTTTAGAGTAAGTAATTCAACATCTTGAAAGAAAATTAAATCCACAGTAGGCAGTGTAAATACACAGGGCAGAAACCTGCTCCTTGTCCATTAAAGTTTTAAGTATATTACACTTCTGGCCACACCCCAATCTGTAATATCATAACAATGGTCTGTTCAGATAGCTGTTGACAGCATGGAATGGGAAAATACTTTGAATATATTAATAAATAAATGTATTTTTTCTTATAATTTGCTATACAAGGAAACTGTAGCATTTGAGGCAGGCCTCAATAGACAACTGATGAAAACTGCCACCATCAGTGACCGGTCCACCCCAGAGTCTGACCATATGACAGCAACCATCATGGTCGAGGGATCCAAAATCCTGGAGGGCAAATGTGTGTCACCTTAAAAATATTTTGGTTATTAAGTACATGAAACTTAAAATGCCTTTTAAATAATATGGGGAAACTATTTGGAACAACTTAATTTCATGAATAATCAACTTAAAAACTTGTGTTTAAGCTACCAATTATTTAGTAGGTGGTAATTAAAAATACCTGTCATTGTAGAGGAAAAGCTAATTCGCCTTACTTAATATAGTTCTTTGGTTGCGCATAAATTCATTCTATGTAGTCACAACTCAAAATGAGAGATGGAAACTGTTAACTGTGTTAATTTTCTTTGTTGAGCCAAGACATTTGTTTTTAGAGTGTGTCAATGGCTGATTGTTGACAGGGCCAGCTGCAGATTCAAACACTGTTCTTGTGGTGGGAGGTTTTGGTCCTGATGAACCATCAGTTGTGGAAAAACCTAGGCTCCTGCTGAGCTGGGGGACTGGATGAGATGGAGCTGGTGGAGGGTGGTCAAAGGGGGTTGGGATTATAGGTTCTATGATAAATCAGTGCCAACAGTGGTTTAAAGGCTCACCAAACTATGTTGGTGCAATCAATTAATTTTAACTATCAAAGACTATTAATTATCAAAAGATAATAGAAAATGACTTTAATTAACATTTAAATTCCTCAGGGCCCCATCCTTAAATAATATGTGTATGCTGAGGTTTAGAGCCGAATTTTGGTGTGTTGGTGTGTGAGTGATCTTAGATTAACGATGCCGGTAAAGGGAGTTAGTTGCATGCAAAGACTGTGTCTGTGTGAAGCATAGCATTAAACTAACCTCACCTGCACTGTCTCAAAGACTACACTTACTACAGTAACCAGCGTTAATCATATCATCACAACAACATAGTAAAAACACATCAGTACAGTAACATTAACAATAATTAATGCTTACCTGTTGACACTGTTGAGTTATATGAAACTTTCTATGCTCAGTAGTTACCAACAGTCCATGAAAGGAAGGAGGAAGAATGGTGCTATCCATTTGCCTCGTAAATCCACCGGCCGAGTTAGAAAGTGTAAATCTCGCAGCTATATATATATATATATCTTGCGACATTTCACCGAGACACACCCCCTTTTGGTCGTAATTTCAGCCATCCAGCTCGGTGCTCCTCAAAGTACACCGTGGTGCGTTCGTTAATCGCGATTTGCAGCTCGAGAGCGACGTCACATCCGTGTTTGAAAACGAGTAACCGCGGGTTTTTGCGTTCTGTTTGGCACACAACACGACGAGCTTGGTTGCAATAGGCAGTTTGGACGTTTCGTAACGTTTATAGTGATTATCGCCGTTCTCGACCTTTTCACGCGATTTCTCGCCATGAATTCACCTCAGGGCATATCTGTGTTCCTTCATTGAAGGATCGTACAGATCGTCCATCTTCCTGTTTCCGGTTTGTGGCGCTCAGCTGAAAAAAAGAGTGGTGCGCGACCTCGCACGACCGTTCCAAAATCCTGCCAGCGAGATCTACGTCTTTTTGACGTCACGTTGTCGCACGACAGGTCGGAACGGCGAGTATACACGAGCCTTGTGTATACTCAACGATCCTTCAAAGAAGGAACACAGCTGCCCAGAGGTGCCAGAATTCTCGCCATGAATGTTGGAAAAGGGGAAATTGGAAAAAAATAAAATAATAATTTTTCCTCTTCTTCTAGTGTGTAGAAATAGCAAAGTCGGTAGCCTTTTCTCAGTAGGGACACCTCTGTTCAGGAGAAGACTGCAACTATTGTCGCGACCACCACTCTCAAGTATAAATAGTTACACTATTTGCAATTCATGATACAACTCTAAAAGACATCTGTAACATCCCTATCAAGTCGGAAATTAAATACCTTCGAGTACGCCTAACAAAAGACCAAAAACAAAGTCAATACTTGAATGTAGAAAATAAAAAATAAAAGAGTAAAGCCAAATTAAATGTATGGCTCCAAAGAGACCTCTCAATACTCGGCCGAATTTACCTAACCAAGATGGAATGTTTATTAAGGTGCATTTACCCAGCCTACTCTAATGCCATTTCAAATAAACTAATCAAATCTATTAACCAAATTAATCTGAATTTTATTTGGAGAAACAAGCCACACTATATGAAAAAAAGCAATATGATTAAAGAAATTAAAGATGGTGGTTTAAAAGTTATTGATTTTGATTGCCTCAATGGAACCTTAAAAATGAATTGGCTGAAATCTTGGCTCAAACATAGCAACTCATTTTGGTACTGTGTCCCAAATTCCCTATTCAATAAGATTGGAGGTTTAAAATGTCTTCTTATGGCAGACTTCAACATCGACAAATTACCTATACCATTGTCAGAGTTTCATAAACAAATTCTATTATATTGGAAAATGCTATATGTGCATAACTTTTCACCTCACACTACTATGCTTTGGAATAATAGATATGTTTTATACCGAAATAAATCATTATATTATCAGGATTGGTATGAGAGGAATATATGGTCTGTAGTTGACTTAATGGATGCCAATGGTAATCTCTTAGATTATCAACAATTTTGCACTAAACATAAATTCAACCCTTCCAAATCAGACTTTATTAAATTACAAAAAGCACTTCCTTGTGGATTTATATTTCTAACAAAAAATATATTGGCCCACCAACCTATAATCACAATTGGATCAAACAAAAAATAGTTTTATTTCCAGCTGCTATCTCTAGAGATGATGTCACTTTCGGTATGATCTTGCAAAACAAAAATGATGAACTCTGTTGCAATGTAATCCTTTGTCTAGCCAAATTTTTCATCCACAAGAATAGAGTTATGAAGTCATCACCCAAATTTATTGTCTTCATGAATGAATTTCAATTGTACATGAAATCTTTAAAACTTCTAACAGAAATTAAGGCACAAAAATTATATGATAACTTAAAGAATTTTCCCACTGAAAAGGATAGTTAAATTTGATTTGAATCCCCCTCATGAAAGCAATGTTTATTCCATTTTATATATATTTTATTTATTTTATTTTTTTGACTATTTATTTTGAGATGTTTATTTTCATTTTATTTCAATTGCTCCGAATTTATTGTATTGAAGCACTAATGTGTATGTTGTTATTGTGAATTGGCTTGCACTAATGTTGGATGATGTTCACCTGGCATTCTCTTTACACTTGTGAAATGTATGTACTATGAAAAGTGCCAGAATTGTTTATTGTTTATTTTTGTACTTTTTCAATAAAGCTAAACAAAAAAAAAAAGTATAAATAGTTACGGCGCTCCTGTGACGTCACATTGTCACGCGACAGGTCAAGAACTGCGAGTATACCAAGCGCTTAAGAGGGGTAAGAGAGAGAATAAGTGAAGTGACCTGTCACAATAAAAATCCAGGTAAATCGCTCAAAATATATATTTTTTTTTACCTAACTGGATCAGGAGTGTCCCTTTGTCTTTGAAAGTGACAGTAGAATTTAGAAAGTTTCCCAGGCACAAGTCGATGGAGTAGGGCGTTTTAGGTTTGTAGTTGGTCTAAGCCTATACTGTCAATGGCCTGAGCCCCTTCCAGACAGAGTCCTTGGCTGAGAACTGGTGTTGACATTTCTCAGAGTACTGTTCTTTCGCCTTGCTAAACTTTGACTCTTTAAACATGTCCCTGTGCCCACTCCTGAACACTTAACTGTCTGTGTTTGGCTGTGAACTATGTTAGTCATTGTTATAACTCACCCTGGTGGTGATGGTAGCCTACACAACAGTCCAGAGGCTGGTGTATGACGTCACATGTGAATGTGGGTTTATCAAATCTACAGTAAAGCACATTCAGGTCGTCAGCCAGTTGGTTCTCCAAAGCGATGGTCTCCTGTAGCTGCTGATGTCCTTGTAGGCCTCTCCACAGTGACCTTACAAAAACTGATGAAGATGTCACAGTGTAAAAAACTCACAGGGGGAGTAGAAAGGTTTGCAGTTTATGAAAAAAGATTCCAGATTAGGAGATCAGTGCTGCAGGATCACTGTCACACCATTACACCAGCCACTGTTAGTGTAAAAACAGGGACCTCCACCTTTTGTTTTGCTGGAGAGTTCTGCCTGCCGGCCCTGAAAAGTTGGAAGCCTGCCAACTGTAGTGTATTCGATCCACACAGCCACATTTCCTTAAAGCATAAAACAGAAGATGAAAAAAAGTCTCCGTTTTTCCCCACCAGTAGCTGAAGTTCATCCAGTTTGTTGCACACTGTCCACGCTGGCAGAGACGCACGAGCGCACCAGCTTGTTTCTCTCTCCTCCCACATTTCACTGCATGAGCAAAGGTGAGTGCACCTTTGAGAAGAATGTCCAATAACACCATGGACAAGAGGAAATAGATCAGCTGGGGTTGTTCCTGTGATGTTCATAAGCTCTTCTCTGATGAAAGAGCTTGTTTTATTGTAGCAAAAAACTGAATTAACAATCTCAACCACCTCTAATCGTTATTTTTTAAATCATAATTCGCCACTAAGTAGGCCTACAATTTATATCCAAACCAAAAACTCTGCGTCTTTGTAGCTAGTATACCAGGGACACACAAGGCTGAAGTGCAGCAAAGCACGGTTCACTTTTAGTCCATAGTAAGATCTTTCCTGACAAGTAGCAATTGATGTGCCTGTAATTTATGTTCAATGAGTGGGATAATCTGAAGGGTGGAGCAACAAGTAGGCACAAACTGAAACTGACGCGTATTACACGCACAACCGCCCGCTGCCTGAGTTAAATTAGCTTGAACCTTTTCCTACACGACACGCACTACCGACAACCACTGATAACTACAATGGATGAGACTGATCCCTGCTGTTTAGAGTTTCCTGAACTATATAACTGTTTTCAGGACATTAACAGGAAGGCATTTGCACAGGCATTGTCACACGTAGAGCAGGCATTGTACACTGCTTCTGCCTGTCTATTCACATGAGGAGCGCAGTGAGACCCTCCAGATCCAGAGACAGAAGAGAGGCTGTGGTGCAGTTTACTTGAGTAAACTGAAGTTGTGGAGACAGTATTAAGAGACAGACACATCACTGATTTTCTATTAGATTTGTTTAAAATGAGAAAAATATAGAAAATTGCCAGCCTGATTCTTTAAGCGAATGTGCCTGTGTGGAATGCTATGGCGGTTGGAATATTATGTTCACTGACACTCATGAAGGCTGGACTTTCAGTCACAGTCAGGGCTGGACTAACCCTTGTGGGGCAAAGATGTGAGCCCTTGTTTCACATTATTTCTCCATTCCAGTTCATGTTAATCATTTACTCATATTATCACAAACTAATTGCCACACATGAATTTAGTGTCTTGGTCCCAATCTATGCCGCCTTGTCAGGTAGGTAATCCAGTCTTGACTGCAATTTAATTACGTTGTCAGATAGATAGATAGATAGATAGATAGATAGATAGATAGATAGATAGATAGATAGATAGATAGATAGATAGATAGATAGATAGATACTTTATTTATCCCGAGGGAAATTCAAGTATCCAGTAGCATACAAAATACAAAATATACATTAAGCATACATTAAACTAAAATTAAAAACCCTAACCGTAAGAATAGAATTACATATACATATATAATATATAAAATTAACAGTCACTCACCAAATGCATGAATGCATTCATTTAAGAGAGCATCAAGAGATGCTGCCTTTCCCAATGTGGATGATCCCATAGTGATGGACAGAGGTCAACAGTTCACTGCTCACTGCTCCGGACCAATCAGGGTTTTCCTGGGAGCAGGAGAAAGACAGATCAGTAAGATAATATTTATATGATTGGGAAAAAAATTTAACCAAACTGTTAGTATGAGAATAAATGCATTTTGCTAGTTTGCTAGTTTTGTGTTCATGTAAAGTCAAATTTGTCCATGTACTGTTTGTCATCAATAAAACTGTTAAAGG